TGACCCTTTGTGGGGGTAGGTTCCAGAAGGAATGGTTCGATCTCTACCATCTCTATAGCAGATCTTGTGTCGATAAAAATATTGAGATGTGCCAAGTCTGAATAGAATCGGATGTTAATTTCTCGTCTTATGAGCTTCATGAAGATTCAAAATTTTGACCCTTTGTGGGGGGAGGTACCAGAAGGAGTGAACCGATATATTTCATCTTCATACCAGACCTTGGGTTAATATAAATATTGGGATATGTGAAATTTGAAGTCAATCGAACTCTTTCATCACATTTTATAAGATTTTTCATTTTTCAAAATTTTGACCGTTTGTTGGGGAGGTACTTGATGTAGTGGACCAATATTGTTCATTTTCTCGCCTGGCCTAGCTCTGATGCAAATATTAGGATTCGCAAAATTGGAGCTAAATCGGATTATCTTTTCTCTTTCTGTGCAGTAAATTATTTTCTTTGAAAAAATTTGGCATTTTGTGGGGGAAGTACCAGAAGGAGTGGGCCGATATCGCCCATCTCCGAACTCTATGTAAGTTTGACAATAATATTACGATGTACCCAGTTTGGATCAAATCGGATACGCCCTTCGAGAGTTATCGTGCACACCAGCCAGCCATGCGGACGGACGAACATCGCTAGATCGACTCCAAATGTCCTGAAACGGATTTGATCCAAACGAGACCTAGGACCTAAAATCGTTATTTCGATGAGGCACGTTTTGGTCGTATCATAAGATATACCTTATGTAGCCATATGGCTGAGGGTATAACAATTTTGAAGAACGCATTATATCTATAGAAGATCTGGAGCAAGTCTTCAATCTATGGAGGCCATGAAGAAGGTCGCTATTTTTCTATACAAGACCTGTAGGAGATATGAAACGCTGAAAAGTCTTTCGTCTAAAGAAACCCTTCTGATCATAGAATGTCTAAAGAAGATATGTTTTCTATAGAAGGTCTGTCAATAGAAGACCTAAAAAATAGAGAAGGAGAAGGAAATTGTTTTCGTAAGAGAGCTCAGAATGACTTCTCTGTACAAACTTCTCTCTTCCAAAGATTTACAAATGCTGCCATATCTATTATTATCTAGTTTATCATTCCGAAACGAAATAGTTCAAATAAACTTCTCCGCGAATGGAACGATCGGGACTATATCCAGCCCGTTCGTTCGCCAAGTTCGTTTAGTAGTGTATCTAGTTAATTGGGCCCATACCGTTCTCTTTATAACCCACACACAATAGTATTGGAGGGTATATTAAGTTTGCCATTCCGTTTGTAGCATCTCGAAATATTAATTTTAGACCACACATTCTTGATCAGCATAAAATTCTATGTCGTTTTAGCGATGCCCGTCTGCAGAAATTACTCTATCTTCCGAACGAAATGAAGTAGGTTGATAAAATTTTACTCAGATGTGTGCAGGACTTTTGATACTGAAAGATTTAAGTTTTTTGGGTGTTTTAGTCACAATTTTAACCCGAATTTGCTGTAAATTAGCAGCATGTGTTCCCATTATGTAAGAAATATCTTCGCATAGAATTGTCAATATAGGTCGGAGGTTCGGTATAGACCCCATATACATCCCTATAATCGATATTTTGATAATTTACGCAACATTATCCTCCGGAATTGTTTAAAATTTTAATAATTTAAAATCCTTTAGAAATTTTTCCTTATAAAATCCAGGTTTAAGGACTTGAAAACCCTTTTGAAAAATTTCTTATAAAATTCTCGTTTAAGCACCTGAAGGACCTTTTAAAATTATAAAATCCACGTTTAAGGACTTAAAGGATCTGTTAAAAAATTTCATATAAAATCCAGGTTTAAGGACTTGAAAACCCTTTTGAAAAATTTCTTATAAAATTCTCGTTTAACCACCTGAAGGACCTTTTAAAATTATAAAATCCACGTTTAAGGACTTAAAGGATCTGTTAAAAATTTTCATATAAAATCCACGTTTAAGGACTTGATGGACCTTTTGAAAAATTTTCATATAAAATCCACGTTTAAGGACTTGATGGACCTTTTGAAAAATTTCTTAAAAAATCCACGTTTAAGGACTTAAAGGATCTGTTAAACATTTCTTAAAAAATCCACGTTTAAGGACTTAAAGGATCTGTTAAAAATTTTCATATAAAATCCACGTTTAAGGACTTGATGGACCTTTTGAAAAATTTCTTAAAAAATCCACGTTTAAGGACTTAAAGGATCTGTTAAACATTTCTTAAAAAATCCACGTTTAAGGACTTAAAGGATCTGTTAAAAATTTTCATATAAAATCCACGTTTAAGGACTTGATGGACCTTTTGAAAAATTTTCATATAAAATCCACGTTTAAGGACTTGATGGACCTTTTGAAAAATTTCTTAAAAAATCCACGTTTAAGGACTTAAAGGATCTGTTAAACATTTCTTAAAAAATCCACGTTTAAGGACTTAAAGGATCTGTTAAAAATTTTCATATAAAATCCACGTTTAAGGACTTGATGGACCTTTTGAAAAATTTTCATATAAAATCCACGTTTAAGGACTTGATGGACCTTTTGAAAAATTTCTTAAAAAATCCACGTTTAAGGACTTAAAGGATCTGTTAAACATTTCTTAAAAAATCCACGTTTAAGGACTTAAAGGATCTGTTAAAAATTTTCATATAAAATCCACGTTTAAGGACTTGATGGACCTTTTGAAAAATTTTCATATAAAATCCACGTTTAAGGACTTAAAGGATCTGTTAAACATTTCTTAAAAAATCCACGTTTAAGGACTTAAAGGATCTGTTAAAAATTTTCATATAAAATCCACGTTTAAGGACTTGATGGACCTTTTGAAAAATTTTCATATAAAATCCACGTTTAAGGACTTGATGGACCTTTTGAAAAATTTCTTAAAAAATCCACGTTTAAAGACTTAAAGGATCTGTTAAAAATTTTCATATAAAATCCACGTTTAAGGACTTGATGGACCTTTTGAAAAATTTCTTATAAAATCCACGTTTAAGGACTTAAAGGATCTGTTAAAAATTTTCATATAAAATCCACGTTTAAGGACTTGATGGACCTTTTGAAAAATTTCTTAAAAAATCCACGTTTAAAGACTTAAAGGATCTGTTAAAAATTTTCATATAAAATCCACGTTTAAGGACTTGATGGACCTTTTGAAAAATTTCTTATAAAATCCACGTTTAAGGACTTGATGGACCTTATGAAAATTTTCTTATAAAATCAACGTTTAATGACTTAAAGGATCTGTTGAAAATTTTCATATAAAATCCACGTTTAAGGACTTCATGGACCTTTTGAAAATTTTCTTATAAAATCCACGTTAAGGGACTTGAAGGACCTTTTGATTTTTTTACAAAATCCACGTTTAGGTGCTTGAAGGACCTTTTGATTTTTTTTACAAAATCCACGTTTAAGAACTTGAAGAATCTTTTGAAAAAATTCTAATAAAATCCACGTTTAGGGACTTGAAGGACCTTTTGATTTTTTTACAAAATCCACGTTTAGGTACTTGCAGGACCTTTTGAATTTTTTTTTACAAAATCCACGTTTAAGGACTTGAAGATCCTTTTGAAAATTTCTTATAAAATCCACGTTTCGGGACTTGAAGGACCTTTTGATTTTTTTTATAAAATCCACGTTTTAGAACTTGAACAATCTTTTGAAAAATTTCTAATAAAATCCAGGTTTAAGGACTTGAAGGACATTTTGATTTTTTTATAAAATCCACGTTTTAGAACTTGAATGATCTTTTGAAAATTTTTCTAATAAAATCCAGGTTTAAGGACCTCTTTAAAATTGCTTATAAAATCCACGTTTAAGGACATAAAGGCCTCTTAGAAAATTGAATTGTAAAATATACATTTCAAAAACTAAGGGTCTTTGAAAAAAAATCTTTTAAAAAACTACGCCTAAAAGTTCTTGGAAAAAGATATTTTAAAAATCCACGTATCAGGACTTAAAGGTACTTTAGTAATATACGTTTCAAATACTAAAGGTCTTTGAAAATAAAATCTTTTAATAATCCAAGCCTAAGGATCTAAAGGTCTTTGAAAAACATCTTTCAAATATCCAATTTTCAAAAACAGAAGGTCCTTAAAAATAATATTTTTAGAATTCGCGTTTTAAAAAGTAAAGGTACTTGAAAAAATTGTAGATCAAGGACTTCGTATAGCCCCCATAAAACGGTACCTCCCAATATTCGGTATTTTGATTATTTTAGCGACATTATTCACCGGAATTGTTTGAAGTTGCAAATACATGTTCATGGCTTCGTATAGGTCACAATATAATGTAACTCCCTATTTTCAGTATTTTTTTATGATTTTATCAATACTTTTCAAAGGGCCTTTTTCTGAAAATTTGTAATTCCTTCTGAATTTTGGAGTGTATTCATATAGGCGAAAAGTAGTAAGTCTTCTACCTTATAAGAGAATTAGAGGGGTTGTCTCCGATTTTAGAGATATTGAAAGATTCAGGCCAAACATTTTTCCGATTTTTAATGCCTTAAACCTGATTAGTCAGTTTCATTGCGAAATTCTTGTGACCCCAACCGAATTGGAAGAGGGGTACCCCTGCGAAAAAGAAATCGCCTATACACTATTTATTTATGTAGCTCGATTAAAATCCAGGAGGTTTTGCTCGTTTTCGAGTGAGAGTGGAATCCAAGTACTACTCTTGCTAATGTAACCCTCTCTCTCTCCCAGCTCACAGCAATAGCAAAACCTGTTTGCTCGAACACACAAATAGGTAGACAAAATACATTTTTCTCCTCAATTTTACTCTCAGAGGAAACCCTTACCCCGTTTTGAGCATTTTGACTCCCACTCGTATTTTTCGAACATGAGTAACATGCAATGCTGTCACATAAAACAAAAGAGTAAGAGTTGTAAAACTACTGCTCTTTGAGCATTCTCCCTTGCGAGTAAAAACGAGCAAATCTGACCTATGTTTGTGACCACACCGACACTAAAAAATATTATCTTTTATTTACAATTTCCAGTCTATGGCGAATCGGAATTCACATATTACGGCAGCATGGGACCAGATCACTGGAGCGAGCATTACAATCAGTGTGCTGGCAAGCATCAAAGTCCCATCAATATCAATGATGTCGATGTCATTGATAGACGGTATCCTGAAATAAAATATGAAAAATTCGACAAGAAGCCGTTGAATGCCACCATGACGAACAATGGGCATACGGTCCAGGTGAAACTGATCTACGACGGCCAGGCACCCATGGTGTCGGGTGGACCGCTAGCTGGCAAGGGAAACTATGAGTTTCAACAGCTGCACTTTCATTGGGGCGAAGATAATACGGTTGGCAGTGAGGATCGCATAAACAATGTTTCGTTTCCGATGGAGCTGCACATTGTGTTTCGTAATATTCGGTATAAGGATTTTGCCGAGGCAACACAGCGCGATGATGGTGTGGCGGTGATGGCATTCTTTTATGAGGTAAATACATAGAGGGTTAGATTTTTTTATGTGTATTGGTGTAAGTCGTGTGGGTAGTGGTTAAAATACATACATATGTATATATGTGAGTGTGTCTAAATGTAATTGTATTGTGCTAGTATACGGAAAATACCAAATGCATGTGGAAATGTAGATACCTGGAATTCCCCTAATCACGTAGCGTAGCTAAAATTTGTATCCCTTTTGAATGCACTCAGCTAACCCCCTTTGATAATTCCTCCCCCAGATAAGTTCGGATCAGGCTGCTGATCATGATTACGATACGTTCACCAGTAATTTGGGGAAGATTGAAGAACCCAATTCGGTTGCCAACATGGATGCCTTGACGCTGTTCGGTTTAATGCCCGACAATTTGAATAGCTATTACACCTATATTGGATCCCTGACCACGCCACCCTGTAGTGAAGATGTCATTTGGATGGATTTCAATACACCCATTGGAATAGCCTCAAAATTGGTAAAAAATGATTTTTTTTTTATTTTCCAAACCCTTTCCTTTTTCCTAAAGCAGAACAAAATAATCCCTGCAATTTGCCATTATTTTTTCCAGCTGGATCGTTTCCGTTCACTCAAGACCTTCGATGGCTCGTCGTTGACACACAATTTCCGACCGGTTCAACCGCTTAACAATCGTAAAGTTTATCGGGCCAAAAAAGAAATGCTTCTTCCCCAGGAAGGTGGGGCCAGTAGTATACCCATTGTAGATGCCTGGGATGCAGCTCCAACGTTTGCCCAACCCATTGTCTTGGTTGGCATTTTGGCGGTGGCGTGTGTCTACATTAACCATTAATTAGCTGTAGTAGTTTAATTTAACAAAAAACCCAACAACAACAACAAAATACTCTTGTACAATTTTAGAATTTAATAGTATTATTATTATTATTTTGATAATTTTATTTTACATATGCATGTCTGATTACAAACATACATACCGTCTACAACTTCTTCGCAATTAGTTATTATTTTTTTGTAGAATTTTCAGCCATATTATTGAATAAATTATAAACTTATTTTTAAGTTATTCAGAAAAATTAATTGGCCTTAGGTTGCCTTTGTTTAATTTTTTTTTTCATGCAAGACCAGAATTGGGTGTTCAAAGAGAAACATCCGGGTCCAGCTATAACTCTCGGAACAATCTACAATTTTTTCTATGGCTAAATTTTGGCCTCCTGATGAAATGTTATTTTTACCCGGAGGTCATAACCGGTTATTCGGTTTTTGAACCGAAAATTCGGGTAAAAATCCAAATATAACCGGTTTTTTAGAACCAATATGGGTATCAAATGAAAGCTTAGGAAAGCACCTATCCTGGGACTTTCTCCTAAGGACAGATATTATATCCGGCTACGCAGTTCGTCCTCGTTTTTTTTTTAACTAAAAAAAAAAATCTAAGGAGACAGCTTTCGGCCGGGATTTAAGACTTTCTCTTATGGACGGGTGCAAATGTCGGGAACACCGACAAAATATTTTTGTAAAATTGTTAAGTTTTATGGTTATAACCGGAATATATATAGTAAAACAATGTTTGACATCTTAACATAAAAATACATTATTCGAAAGGCAATCTATTTACTTGTTATTTGATATCCATATGGGTTCTAAAACCCGGTCATATTTCGGTTTTAGTATCCGAATCTCGATTCAAAAATCCAGATAACCGGTTACGACCGACGGCAATCAGGAGATCAAGATCTATCTATGGTATATATTTCGGACCGAGCCGAGAGTTATAGTTATACTAGGATTAAGCCAAGAATTCTGCTATCTACAGAAACAAACATATTTTCTTCAATTTATAGATTTCTCTAAATGGTTTAATGCTAAGAGTTATAAAAGCTCTCCTATCAATAGAAGCCTAATACAATTTCTACAAAAAATAAAATAGAAATTTTCAAAGTATTTTCTATCTATCCCAGAACTAGCACAGTTTTTCGGTTCTAGAAGGCCTTAAGCTGATTTTTTATACATTTGTAGGCATAAGATATCCATCAGAGATCTATTAAACATTTTTTATCACTAAAGGCCTTGAGAAGGTCCTCCATTCACAGAAGGCCTATGAAAGTTTCAACACCTGTAGCTCAATATGGTCATGATAAGGTACTCTCTGTCTAGAAGAACTGTAAATGATATTGTGCTTTTCGTCTTTCATCGTGACAAGTAGAAAGGATTTTAAGTTCGCCCAAGCCAAACTTTTTATACCCTCCACCACTAGGTTTATGTTGTAGCATTAAACTGAGTAGCCAACAAATACAGGGTGAGATGAAAAAACTGGGACCAACTTCAGACTGCTGTCATTTTTATGCCACTCGTTCAATAGCTGTTAAAATTATTTCAGTGACAGCTCGTTATATTGTTTAGAAGCGTACAAAAGCATTTTGGTGAGAATTTTCCAGAAAAAAATTTATTCGTGATGGAATTCAAGCGTGATAGTGTGATTTCTTTATATTTGGGTGGAAAACCGCCAGTGGCTATCGTTAGAGGACTCCAAAATTTAAATGTGACGGAAGAAAACAGCAACATCAGCAGAAAGGTTCGAAAAGTAAAGAAGCGATTTGATCGAAACCCGCGTCGCAGTGGCCGAAAAATGGCTTGTGAACTGAACATATCACAATATTCCATTTGGCAAATATTGAAATTCCAAAAAGTGCAAGAACTTACCCCGCAACTGACAACAGAAAGAAAATAGACTCCAAAAGAGCTAAAGACTTGCTTCGCTTGGCCGAAAGTGGTGAACTGCCGAATTTGGATTTCTCCATCTTCGATGAGAAAACATTCGTTGTCCAGCAGTTTGTAAACAAACAAAATGATCGTGTTTACTTGCCAAAGAGGTCAGCTGAAAATGTGCACCTTCGGTTGGCCACCAGAATTCAAGCGCCGGCCATGGTGATGGTATGGGCCGCTATAACAGCCGATGGTCGCTCTCCGCTCGTATTAATCGGCCATGGCATCAGAAAAAATGCCGAATATTATCGAGAAAATATTATGGGGATGTATTAAAGCCTTGGGCACGCAAACATATTGGCCGCACAACTGGACTCAGCACCATCGCACTCAGCACGCGCCACCCAAGAATGGTTACTATGAGGTTCCTCGCTTCATTTCCAGCGCACAATGGCCACCAAAATCTCCGGATACAAATCCGTTGGACTATTGTATCTGGAGTATTTTAAAAAGCAAGGTTGACACTAAAAAAAATACCAAAGTGTCGATCACCTCATACAGGCGCTTTGTCGGGAATGGGCCAAAATGCAACACGCAGAGCAACATTCGAGCAGCATGTGACTGTTTCATGGGCCTTGACTTGATGCTATTTCCGACATTTTTTGCTTTCATTCAACAAAATTTAAAAAAATATGTAAAAATGATGGCGTTTGACTTTGTTGCAGTTTTTTTATCTCACCCTGTATTTGAGATATGTTATAATTTTTATACCCTATTTTATTTTTGTAAACAAATTACAGCTCGCATTTATTGCCGGATCCAGTTGAAAGTTTGCACAAATCATTTGTTTGACCAAAGAACGAATCCTATTGAAATTGGAGACAATCGATCAAAATTTAGATATAGCTCCCACATATATCTTCGTCCGATTTGCTTTTTATTGTGCACCAAACGTGTAATACCAGTCCAAATAGTATGGAATTTGGAACGTACGACCACATTAGACTTGAAAATAAGAATACCAAACTTGATCGAAATCGGTTCAGATATAACTATAGCTACCATTTATATTGTTCATCCGATTGTAATTTTTGTCGTTTGCAGCCGTAATATGGCCTCTGCAACCATGATATTTGGGGAAATATATCAAATATAGTTCTGAAATACATTTGCTAAGTTTTATCGAGATCTGTACACATTTGGATATAGCTCCCATATATATCTTCGTCCGATTTGCCTTTTATTGTGCACCAAACGTGTTATATTAACCCAAATGGGATGGAATTCGGCACATACAACAAAACGGAGCTGAAGTGCCAAATATCAACATTGGTGAAAATCGGTTCAATAGGTCCATATATATTGTCCGATTTGCTATATTTGTTCTTCACAGCTTAAATATGCACCCCGTTACAACAATATTTGGGGAAATATATCACATACAGCTCCGAAATACCTTCGCCAATTTGTATAGAGATTTGGTTCAGATTTGGTTATAGCTCCCATATATATCAGAAATTAAAAGGAATGAACCGATCTCCACCATCTTTATAACAGATCTCGTGTTGATAGAAATATTGAGATGTACCTAGCCTGAGTGGAATCAGATGTTAATTTCGAGTTTTATGAGCTTCATGGATATTAAAAGTTTTTACCCTTTGTAGGGGAAGTATCATAAAGAGTGAACTGATGTATTCCATCTTCACACCAGACCTTGGGTTATGGACCGATATTGTCAATTTTCGCACCTGACTTAGCACTGATGCAAATATTGGGATATGCAAAGTTGGAGCAAAATCGGATTATCCTCTCTCTTTCTGTGCAGTGCAACATTTTTTGACAACTTCCACCTTTTGTGGGCGAAGTACCAGAAGGAGGTGACCGATGTTGACCATTCCCGAACTCGATCTAAGTTTGATAATAATATTGCGATGTACCAAGTTTGGACTAAATCGGAGTGTTATCGTGCGCATCAGCCCAGCAGACGGACGGACATAGCCAGATCTACTCCAAATGTTCTGAAACGGATTTGGTCCAAAGATATGTAGGGTCTAAAACCGTTTTGGCCGTATAATTTATAATATGTTGACTTAATATTTTCTACTACCAACGCCATCTATTGACTCAAAGCAACAACAATCTATTGACTCTCTTAGACCAACAATAGCAGCTCTTCTATCTCCACAAGACTTATAAAAAGCTTTATTGTTATATAAGGTTTTTAATCCTCAAAAGAATTTAAGTTGTGTTCTGCCTCTAGAATACCTTGAACTTACATTCGATCGTCGAAACATCGAAAAATTTGCGTTTTTGTTAATGGCTAAAAATCGGAAAGTCTAACGGATCGACTTTTGTTTCCAACTACCCAGCAAAATTTCTCATTACCAAATAAAACAACAACGCCGCATCCTGACCCCTTATTTTAACATGGCCTTGGCCATGGAAGTACTTACCAAACTGCTAACAAGAAACCAATAAATATGTTTCAAAAAAAGTTAAAAGCATTTTTGTTAAGTTAACAACACTTTCCCTTTTTTGTAATTTGCTTTATCTGATGAAGTGGATGAACTGACGATGTTTTTGGTCTACTAGTAATGCAGCGGGCATGTCGTTGTCATTACTCGTAATGCTGGAAGTAATACGTTTCCGCAACTGCAATAATTGTATTTTAGTAACTTTTTTTTCCCGAACATGATTAACGCTGCAGGAAATCGAATCTCTAGAGTGGATGGAGCTTTCTCTTTATCCGCTGTAGCGTTGTTTAGATTCGATAGGTTAAAAAGTTGGGTTCAACAAATTTAGGGTTGGCCTTTAAATTAGGACTTATTATCGGTTACCAGTCTCACTTCGATGATCTCACAGTTCTCTAAGCTTGGGAATACAAAGTGTTAAAGAGTTTATTACAGGGTGTAATATAGCAAATTTTAATGAATTTTACAATTTATTGACCTGTGACGCCCACAAAGTGTGTCCCGTGTTTGCTTCTCCGGCAATGATGAGTAAATAGTGCGAATCCAACTCCAAATGATCCAAAACCTGCACGGTTGTCACTACGACAATTTGTTCCTTGCGGAGAATTAAAAAATAGTATTATTAAAGGCTCCCGATTGAGTTACACTCATCCTAGACCGCTTAAAGTTCTGCCTTCAAGAATATTGAGTTGCTGCCTAAAGCACCGGAATTAAAAAGTTCGATTGCAGCTGGCGTGTACTTTTATTTTATTTATATTCATGTACATTAAAATATACAAGAGAATTGAAATTTGTTAATCCCCTGGATAATATATTTAAGTGGTTTTGATTTAAATGTGTTTGGCATGTTATATTTCTTTCAATGTTATATGTATGAACACACTAGATAATTGGTCTCTCAAATCATTTAAATGTAGAAACCTTAGACAATTATGAAAATATATGCATCGAGCCCGGATTTGCTCGATTTTACTTTCGAGTGAAAAATATTAGCGAGCAGGAATGCTCAAAAAAGACGAGTCTTGAAAGAACATTACTCTCCACTCTTTGATTTTACGGTCGCATGTTACTCCTCTTTGCAAAATAAGAGTGGGAGTCAAAATGCTCGAAATAGAGTAAATGTTTACTCTAAGTGAAAAATCAAGTAAAAAAGTTATATTGTTTGCTGATTTGGGTGTTTGTGTTCGTCTGCGTTTACTACAGGTTCTCGATGTTGCTGTGTGCTGGGCCGGAAGATTTTGTATATGAAATCGAAAAAAAAATCTAACTCGACAAAACTAGAATATGCTCGATGTGGAGTATTTCCGCTCGAATTCTTATGTTATGTCTGTGGCGCTATATAGTGAAGTTGTTCGTTGATTTTTTATAGAACTATTTTGCATAAGACTCAAATGAAATGAGGTTTTCTAGGTAAGTTTTGGTGTATTCTGGGGCTTATACAATATTTTGATCTGATACGATCACTACTTAATGGAGTTTATGGACGTAAATAAAAGACCGCTTGACTTACTCGACTGAGGGTTAATTTGTACTACAAAAATCTTCCCCGGATTTTTGGCTGTAGTATTGCCGAAGACACTTTATACCCAAAATGCATGAAATCCTAACTCAAATATATCAGCAAATGTTAAACTGGGCGGAACTTCCCCACCCAATTTTATAAATAAAAACAAGTGAAAAAACAATAAGTTCGGTCGGGTCGAACTTTGAATACCCTCCACCATTTGGAAAGAACTTGGAAATTAAAAAAAAAAAATAAAAATATTATTCTTTATAAATTCTGTTAAAAACTTAAAAATACTATATATAAGGAGTTACCGTTATTTTGGGGTCTATACGAAGGCGTGGACCTGCAATTTTCTGCCACGGACTATAGCAACCATTACGAAGTGCACACATGAAATATGAAATAATTCCGGTGAATAATGTCGCCAAAAACATCAAAATACCGAATATCGGGAGGTACCGTTATATGGAGGCTATACGAAGACATGGACCTGCATACAAATCTTTTTTGTCATAGGCTGCAGTTCCCATTACGAACTTCAAATATGAAATTCGAAAGAATTCCGGTAAATAATGTCGCTATAATCATGAAAATACCGAATATCGGGAGGTACCGTTATATGAGGACTATACGAAAACGTGGACCGACATGGCCCATTTACGAACTTAACCTGCCTACTGGTACACTATGTATGTATGCAAAATTTTAGCCTTCTATCTCAATTCGTTCGATTACAACAGTCAGACGGACAAACAGTCGCAAAGACAGGCAGAGAGACGGACATCGCTAGATCGTCTTAGAATTTTACGCTGATCCATAATATATATACTTTGTAGGATCTATTATGAATATTTCGAGGAGTTACAAACGGAATGGCAAAGATAATATACACTCCATAGAATGGTGGGGGGTATAAACATGGAATGCGATATTAACCCTAAATCGGGTTTATTGTATTTTTGCCGAATTCTAGGTTTTAGGTAAGTTGTGGTGTATCCTGGGAATGTTTTGTTCTAATACAATCACATCTTAATGGAGTCTATGGTCGTTTTAGAAGAAAGGGTCCTAAAAGACCGCTTGTCTGACTCTGACTGAGGGTTAATTTTTTCTACAAATATATTCACCGGATTTTTGGAAGTAGTATTGCATAAGACGCTTCATGCGGAACTTCTCCGCCCCATTTTATAAATAAAAATTAAAAATTAGCGAAGACCGTCTGTTGAAGTCAACATAGCGTTCACATTATTTAGACTAGAGCTTTGGCCCTAGAAGGCTGATTGGTATTTAAAATGGGCTATATTGGTTCAGGTTTAGATTTACCCCCCATATAACGTTGCCTTCAGATTTTCAGTATTTTGAAGGTTTCTGCCACAATTTCTAACAAAATCAGCTGAAAGTTTATATTTGGGTTTCTTGGTAGGTCTGTCCTCTCCATGCAATGTTCGTTTTAGGTCCACTAATTGATATAGCCCCCATATAACGGTACAATCCGATTTTCGGTTTTTTTAGGTTTCTGACATAATTCTGAACCAAATCAGCTGAATCTAGACATTTGGGGTTCTTGAGAGGTCTGTTCCCTTTTTTGCGAAAATGTTCGATTAAGGCCCACTATTTGCATAGCATCCATATAACGGTACCGGACTGTATGGATTTTCTGTATTTTGAAGGTTTCTGCCACAATTGCACACCAAGTCAGCTGAAACTTTACATTTGGGGGTTCCTGAACGGTGTGTTTTCTCCTTGCGAAAATTTTTCGATTAACTTCCACCAATTGGTATAGCATTCATATAACGTTACCTTCCGATTTTCGGTATTTTGAAGGTTTCTGCTAAAAATTCTGAAACTTGACATATGGGGTCCTTGAAAGGTCTGTACTCTTCATGCAAAAAACTTTCGTTTCAGGTCGATACTTCCCTATATTCGATATTTTACTGGATTATTTCAATTTTCGTATTTAAGACAAAAATTACATATACAGGCCCACGTCTGCGTATAGGTCCCAATATAACGGTATTTTTATAATTTTAGCAGAATTTTTCAAATGATTTTTTTTTAATTTGGATTTTTTAAAATTTCCTTTCAAATGATGGAGGGTTTTCATATATCGACCGAGTCGAACTTACTGCGATTTTAGTTTTTCATAATCTGCACAAATTTTCCTTTAATTTGGAAAAAAATAATTTTGTGCACGTATTTTTAATTTTAGTTTTTAATATAAAAAAATCCATTAAATCCTTTTTTTAATTTTTTGATATTTTATTTTTATTAAAATTTTCAATTTTTTTACTGTCTTCCCTTAGATAAAAAATGTGGAAAATAAAGAATATGAAATATTTGTAAAGTTCTTACAAAGTGGAAAGGAATCACGTACTATCAGAGGGATAGAACTTCAGCCTTTGTTGTACCTAATGCCATTACACTACGACATCTACTATTATTATACCGAAACAATATCGGCTGCCGTTTGCAGTGGACGTGTCATATGGATGGAATTCACGATGCCCATATTTTTACCTTCGAATTTGGTAAATCGTGATATTATTACATATTCGTTTATTTTTTGTATAAAACATTGTGTTTTTGTAGATGAAACAGATGTCCGAGGTTCTTAATACTTCAAATGGCGCCCAATCGAATCGTATCCATTCCAGACAAGTCAAAGTTTTTCATAGCCAACCAATACATATGGTATCCCAATTGCCGGCTGTCAATAGCATTGCCCTTGTCGATGCCTGGGATGGTGATGTTGAAGTGATTTTCAGTTCCATGCGGCTGTTGATGTTTTGTATTTGCATTTTAAGTGTTTGGAATTGAAATATTATCAAATGTATATGAGTGCATTTTAAAATTGCAATTTCTAGTCCCTTGGATAATTTATTAAATTTTGTGTACTTAAAATATATGATAGTTACACTGTGCAACAAAAATTCTTTTTTTTACAAAAATAACAGGAAAATTTCAGCAGATTATGAGAGAAGAGCTAAAAATAAAATACACGTACATCAAGGTTCTGAAAGTTTTTATCGAAAAGTGGACTAAATGGGTTACTCATTTCTGGAAATTTTGGAATTATGATTCCTTGGAATCCGTTCATTTAAGGTACATAGTGTCTTCGATAATATTACAGATCATAATATGAGGATTATTTTGGTTGACAATTGTAACTCCAAAGCGAGTCAACCAAAAGGTGTGTTTTCGAGTATTTTTTATATATTTTTTTAAAAACTGTCTTTAAGCAAGAACGTGGCATATGAAAATATTCTACAAATTTATTATGCCCTCAGTCATATGGCTAGAGAGTAAAATATATCATTTGATACGGCCAAAATGTGCCTCATCGAAATAACGGTTTTAGGACAGGACATTTGGAATCGATCTGGTGATGTCCGCCCGTCCGTCCGTCTGTCTGGCTGGTGCGTACGATTACTCTCGAAGAGAGTACCCGATTTGATCCAAACTTGGTACATCGTAATATTATTGTCAAGCTTAGATGGAGTTCGGAAATGGGCAATATCATTTTCAAAAAATATATTTTCTGCACAGAAAGAGAAAGGATTATCCGTTTGCTTTTGCTCCAACTTTGCATATCCTAATATTTGCATTGGTGCTAGGTCAGGTGAGAAAATATATCAAGTACCTCCACCACAAAGTGTCAAAATTTTGAATAATTACTCTTATAAAATTTAATGTAAGAGCCCAATTGTCTTCAAATTTCACACATTCCAATAATTTTATTAACCCAAGGTCAGGTGCTAAGATGAAATATATCGGACCACTCTTTCTGGTTCCCCCACAAAAAGTCGAAATTTTCAAAAATTTATTTTTTGCACAGAAAGAGAAAGAATAATCCATTTTTACTCCAACTTTTCACATCCTAATATTTGCGTTGGTGCTAGGTCAGGTGAGAAAATGGACAATATCGGTCCACTCCATCAAGTACCTCCTCCACAAAGGATCAAAATTTTGAATAATTACAACTCTTATAAAATTTTAATTCGACGGTCTTCAAATTTCATCGCAATATTTTTATTAACTCAAGATATGCCGTGAAAATGTGATATATCGGTCCACTCCTTCTGGTACCTCCCCCCACAAAGGTTCAATATTTTGAATATTCATGAAGCTCATAAAACACGAAATTAACATTCAATTCCCTTTAGACTAGGCACACCTCAATATTCCCATCAACGCAAGATCTGTTATAAAGATGGTAAAGATCGGACTATTCCTTCTGGTACCTCCCACACAAAGGGTCAATGTTTTGAATAACCAAAACGTTTATAAAATCTGAAATAAGCATCAAGTTCTCCTTATATTTCACTCATTCCATTATTTCTACTAACACAACATCTGTTGTGAAGAAGGGATATGTCGGCCCTCTCCTTCTGATACCTCCCCCACAAAGGGTCAACATTTTGAATATCTATGAAGCTCACAAAAAGCGAAATTGACATCAGATTCCATTCCAGACTAGGTACATCTTAATATTTCCATTAGCACAAGATTCTGAGGTACCAGAAGAAATGGTCCGGACCATTTCTTCTGTTCAAGTTTTTGAAAATCAAAACTCTCAGAGAAAGCGAGATAGCTTCCAACTCTCTTCAAATTTCACATATCCAAATATTTTTGCTAACACAGGATCTGTTGTGAAGATGATATATATCTGCCAAACCCTTCTGGTATTTCACCCAAAAAGTATGGGAAGTTGTCGTTATAGTCCAAATCTGGCACGTTGTAATATTTATATCAGTCTTAGGTCACATATGATAGGTCAATATTGGCCAACTGGTTCGGAACCTCCCCCCATAAGGGTCAACATTTTGAATAATCATAACTCAAGGCTGGGGTATACTTCTGTCGGCAAAACTGACTGATACTATTTTAGTTGTTAATATATATGAATTCGTGGCATTTAGGTGTGATTTAGACCCTTGACGTCTTCTAGGTCCTGCAGTAGAATTTTATGACAAATAATTTTGTGGTATATTTTGACTTGCTACGATACCGTGTAAAGGGAGTTTTTAACCATGTTTTAAAAAAGGACCAAAAAGACCCCTTTGTTGAATCGATTAAGGATTAAAATGCTCGACCAAAATATTCCTCGTACTTTTATCTGCAATATTGCCGAAAATACTATATACCTAAAATGCAGGGATTTCGAGGAATCTTAATCCGAAAATGGGCAAAGGGGTTGAAAGGGGAGGGAACTTGTCCCCTCTATTTAGGTTACTTACCGTGAGTAACCGTGTCTTCTGCTTTTTTGTGCCTTCATAATCTGCTGGATTTTTCAGGAAATTAATATTTGTGTTGCACAGGGTTATATAAAAAACCAGTAAAGAAAGTCTTAAAGTCGGCCGGGCCGACTTTATGATATCCTACACCACTTTGCTAATTTAGTAGAGCTCCGCATAACAATTAAAAGTTTTTATGGGAGAATTCAATCATATAATTATAATTTAAAGTTCGAAGAACTAAATATGCCGAATTCGGATAAAAATATATATGGGAGCTATATCCCAATCGAAACCGATCTCGATAAAATTTGGCAAATATATTTCTGAGCTGTATTTGATATATTTCCCTGAATATCTTTGTTACGGAGTGCATATTACGGCTGTGGGTAACAAATATGACAAATCGGATGAACAGTATATATGAGAGCTATAGCTATATCTGAACCGATCTTCACAAAATTTGACATGCTAGACTCAATTCGGTCGTAAGTGTCAAATTTCATCCAATTTGGGCAAATATTAGACGTTTGGTGCACAATCAAATGTAAATGGGACGAAGTTATATATGGGAGCTATATCTAAATTTTGACCGATTATCTCCAATTTCAATAGAGTTCGTCCTTGGGCCAAACAAATGATTTGTGCAAAATTTCATCTGAATGCGAACTGTACATTGTTTACAAAAATACATGGACAGACGAACGGACGGACGGACGGACATGCATAAATCGAATGTGATTCTATGCAGATCGTCAAAAGGAACTATGGGTCTATCTCGTTTCTTTTTGCCTGTTGCAAACAAATGCACAAAGACATAATACCCTGACCACCTTGTGGTGTAGGGTATAACAAGTAAAAAAGCTGTAAGTTCAGCCGGGCGAACTTTGAATACCCTTCACCATTTGGAACGAATTTGGCAATTTTTAAAAACAATAAAATCGTCTAAATTAAAAATTCTGTTAAAATCTTAAAAATACCCAATGTAGCTGTTATATTAGGGTCTATACGACGACATGAACCTGCATAAAATTTGTCATAAGCCATTACAATATTCAAATGCGAAATTAAAAAAAAATCGGTAATAATGTAGATAAAATGATCAAAATACAGAATATCGGGAGGTACCGTTATATGGGGGCTATACGAAAACGTGGACCTGCACAGACAATTTTCTGTATTAAGCTGTAGTATCCATTACGAACTTCAAATACCAAATTTGAAACAATTCTGGTGAATAATGTCGCCAAAATGATAAAAATACAGAATATCGAGAGGTAAAGTTATATGGGGGCTATACGAAGACGGGGACTTGCACATACAATTTTCTGTATTAGGCTGTAGTATCCATTACGAACTTCAAATACCAAATTTGAAACAATTTCGGTGAATAATGTCGCTAAAATCATCAAAATACCGAATAACGGAGGTACCAATATATGGGGGCTAAAAAACACACTGACCTGCACAGACAATCTCCTGTCATAGGCTGTAATATCCATTACGAACTTCAAATACCAAATTTGAAACAATTTCGGTGAATAATGTCGCTAAAATCATCAATATACCGAATACCCTTATATGGGGGCTATACGAAGACGTGGACTTGCACAGACAATATTCTGTCATAAGCTGTAGCATCCATTGCGAACATCAAATACCAAATTTGAAACAATTCCGGTGAATAATATCGCTAAAATCACCAAAATACCGAATATCGGGAGGTACCGTTATATGGGGGCAATACCTAAACGTGCCCATTTTCAATACCAAAAGTCCTGCAGACATAATATACATTTGAGTAAAATTTTATCAATCTACTTCAATTCGTTCGGAAGCTACAGTGATTTCCAAAGACGGACGGACATCGCTAAATCGACATAGAATTTTATGCTGATCAAGCATATATATATACTCTGTGGAATGACAAACTTAATATACCCTCCATACTATGGTGAGGGGTATAAAAATAAAACACTTTTAGTTTTTTTTTTAATAATTTGAGTTGTTTTATTGCTATGAATATTCCTTTTTCTTATTTTTATATTATTAAATATAATGTCAGAAAAATCAAATGTTTTCATTTTTTGTTTTTATTTATTTTGTATATATTTTTTTTCCTTTTTATTTTGATCTTTTTTTCTTTTTGTATTTGTTTGCTGTTTGTTTTGGGTAACTAACTCTATGATCAATTAACTTATTTAATTTCTTTTGCAAATTCATTTGTGTTTGTAACTTGTGTTTTACAAACATACATACATATGTTTTATTTATATTTCAATTAGTATATAATTATAATTTTAGGTATATATGTAGTATTTGTTGTCTATTTTATAAATAACGTTAAGTTTGTATGTTTGTATTTATGTGTACTGAAGTCATTGTTGTGATTGGTCAACTAAAAATAATGAAAAAGAAAGAACAAAACATATTTTCGAGTTATTTTCAATGAATTAAAATAATTAAAATTTATTTGTTTAGTTTATAATCATAATAATGTGTGTGTGTGTTTTGTTGTTGTATTTATGTGTGTACGTGTTGTAAATTTGTTCTTAGGTATTAAGTTTGAGTACCATCATATCATACTACAAATTTGTTTATATGCATTTATATATGAATATTTATATATAGGTATTTTTAAATAGTAATTATAATTGATGAATACATTTGAATTATTACAGTTTTCTTTTATTTTGATAATAAATACAGTTATATTTTAATGAAATTCTTTTGCGTTTCCGTTATTGTTTAATTTTTACAATGTGTGTGTGTGTTATTTTATCTGGGACATTTTGTAACCATTTTGTTTTTGTAAATTATTTTTAAGTTTTCTTTTTTAGATGTGGACAATTACATGTGTTCACAGAGTTGAGTATATTTTTTTAAATGGATTTTGTTTTTCTTTTTTATTTAGATTTAATGTTTTTTTATAAAAGTCCACAGGTCTTTACCTAAACTAAGCGTTTTTTATTTTGTTTTGTATTTTCTTGTCGGGCTTTCAATAGAAAAATATTTTATTATATATATGGCTAAAATCTACATTTAAAATTTACATCTAATGGGATTTGTTATTTTCTTTTTATGTATACCTAAAAAAGCACTATACAATTTGTTGGAAAACAAATAGCTGTGTATTTGTTTTTATTTGCAATGAAATCTACAAAATAGGTAATTTTCTGTTTACATCGATTAATTTACAATTTGCAATTTTTTTAGATAACACAGTGCTTTACAGTAAGAATACAAATTATACTTCTTGTCCTCATAGGTTCTTCGTGTGTCTTTTTGGAAGAAAAATTTTACATGGCTTGCAGTACGCCAAAAAAAAATATAGATCGAAAGAATAATTTCCTCAGTCGACGCCCTCGCAGGCAAATTTATTTATTATTCTGAAGCTGAATTAATTTGCCGATGTCATAATAAGTTTTTTTTTTCGATTTCATAATGAGGTTATATTTTAAATTGTATCAAGTATTTTTGCTGAAACTCCTAATAATGACGACACGATTGAAATCTGTTACATAAAATGGTTGACTATATATTCAGAGTTTTCGGACGATTCAGTATGCATCGAACGATTTGCAATGTAAATGTACCCGCTGTATGCCAAATCTCAAACAATTCCAAAGCACTTAATTGGAAATTCAATCAAGCTAACATTTTTTATAATTGATTTTCAAATTATTGCATTTCAGTTTTCTATGATTTATTTTCTGCTGGTCTTTACCTCTAGCTTTGCCGCAGATATGTCGAAAATCAATTGAGACTTTATATGAGATATGTGTATATTTTTTGGAAAATTTTAAACTTTTTTGACTTGGAGGTACCTGAAAAACAGTGGAGCGATATATAATACTCATACGAATATTGGTATGTGCAAAGTTTTGAAAAAAATCGAACACTAATTCCAAATTTAATGTGAATTATTGTTAATCCAAAGATTGGACCTATATATTACATATTTATATTAGATTTATTGTTGAAAGAGGTATACGGTGTTTAAAGAAAACCACTAACTTTTATATAGGGGTTAATTTATTTAAAAAGGGGAAGAAGGAGCCCTCAAATTCCATTTTCTCATCAAATCTGTGCTTGATAAATTTATTGAGTTATACGATGGTTAAAAAAATATTGATATAGGTCGTATATTATGTGTCATAATTATACAACATTTTGACCGTCTACATATAGGTGAGTTTCCGATCTTCACACAAAATCTTTTGTTAGTAGAAATATTAGGATTTGTCAAGTTTCGCTGGAATCGGATGCCCACGTCACATTTAATGCGACTCTAAGTTTGATAATAACATAAACATGTACCAATGTTCTTCAATAGTTTCGTGAGCACCAGCCAGACAGACAAATTGACGGACGGCCGGACGGACGGATACGGCTGGATCGACTCCAAATGTCCTGAAAGTGATTTCGTCCAAAGAGACCTATGCCATGAGGCAATTCTTGGTTGTACCAAATGATACATACTCTCTGTATATTCGATTTGTGGAATTGGATACATTTTTGTGGTCTTTGATAATTTAGAGATAATTCTTTTTCAAAATCTATTCAAGAGTTGAACCGATTTATACCAATACCAGATGAAATGATTCACATACTTATCACCTATCTGATTATTTAGTTTTTTTTTTTTCTCAGAAAAAGATTCAATAACATTTTAAAAAATTTTGTGCAATATTGGGTTCAATGCAAACTTGCAGAGTGATTCATCCGACAACATTGCCATTTTCCTCGGAGTAGACTTCGAAGCCAAATTCCTTATCCTGAATCCCAGCCTGTTTCAATAGCTTCTGGAGAATTTGAGGCAAACTACAAAAGTTTTACTCTGCACTCAAGTCAATATAAAAATGTCAAGGAATGCCTTTATTCGGCTAAAAGAACAAGAGCATTTTCCCATTTACACTATCTTCTGGTCAATATCGAAATTTTAAGGATTGCCTTTTAAAAGATAATCGACCATATATTTACGAAATATACTGCATCGTAGCCATTCCCTACATCCACAAAATAATGTGGTCTGGAATCACTTTCTTTTATGATTTAATGGTTTTTTATTTGACATCAAACATTTAGCTTGGTAATAACAAATTTATAGCACCTGCAAAAGCTTCTCGATTTCTCGATCTTTTTACCAATTTCACATGTTTGCTATAATAATTTACTTTTGTGGATCGAATTTGACATGAAATTACTTTCCGGTCTGTAGGTATATTAGGATGATGTGTTCAACAAAAATAATATGAATTGCATCGACATCCCTACGCAAGTACCAGGACCGACTTCCTGAAGATATTGGAGATATATAATTGAAGGACTACTTAAAGAATCTTTCGAAACTACAAGATTAGTTTTCTAATTCTCGTTTAGTAGCCACATTTGACTACAGAGGAAAGATCGAATTTGACATGAAATTACTTTCCGCTCTGTAGGATTTTTTAGGATGATGTGTTCAACAAAAATAATATGAATTGCATCGACATCCCTACGCAAGTACCAGGACCGACTTCCTGAAGATATTGGGGATATATAATTGAAGGACTACTTAAAGAATCTTTCGAAACTACAAGATTCGTTTTCTAATTTTCGATTAGTATCCACTGTTGGTTGCAGATTAAAGGTCACAAATTCCGCACTCAAAACTCCTTCTCACGCTCTATTATGCGTGAGAAGGAGTTTTGAGTGCATTTAATGGATTTTATGTTTATTAATGATCCATTTCATTCTTCAAAAAATTTCACAGAGGGGCAAAAGGAGTTTCTTGGCATTTGGGCGAAAGCACGAGACCATGCAAATGTTGCTCTATATTTACGCCCTCTATCGTGGACATTCAAAATTTTACTCAGCGAAATCAGCTTTAATTTCAACATCATGTTATTTATGTTTTATATTTGCAAAATAAAAATGATTATGTGAGTTATTTTTACATGTCTTATTCAGTACAACATTCTGACTTCTCTCTGGACTTTAGGAATTGACAATATCTTGCCATTAACCAGAACAACTCTAAGACTGACTACTGGGTCTCAAAATCAAAATTTTCAGCATCGTCCAATAAAACTACTTCCCAAAGATGTCTGACCTACAACTTGTAGAGAACGGTACGCCATATCTGCAACCTGAACTATAATCTCTAAAAATTCTTTTTCATCAAGTTTTAGGTTATAACTTTAGATTTTTTAATAATTATTTCAAGGCTAGCTGAAATAAAGAGTGATTTTTGAGCTATTAGCATTTTTGCAAAACTGATTTAGCTCACGCACAGTCTATAATTGAAACATGAAGCATCTTACAACCAACAACGATTGCGAACAATTGAATTTAAAAGGGGCTTCTATTAAGAAAGTTCAAAGAGAAAAGTTGTCTTCAGCGAGGAAGCTTAATTTTGGCTCAATGAGTACGACTCCTAGACTACCTTTAAACAATTATTTTCGTGGGGCTAAGATAAAGCTCATGTCGCAAGGTTTTTTAATTTTATTGAATGAAAGCAAAAAATGTCGGAAATAGCATCAGATTTTAGAACAAGTTTAGATTTGTTAGAATTGGTCACCTTTGGCACGAATTATGGCCTTCTAACGGCCAATGAAACCTTTACACGCTGCCCGAATGTTGCTCTCCGGTATTTTGGCCCATTCCCGGCGAAGGAGTTTCTTGGCATTTGGCCGAAACCACGAGACCATGCAAATGTTGCTCTATATTTACGCTCTCTATCGTGGACATTCAAAATTTTACTCAGCGAAATCAGCTTTAATTTCAACATCAAAAATATTCGCGCTTGAAAAGAAATATATATAAAAATATACGTACATTTCACCTTCTAGTTGTTATCCATTAATTATATAAATCGGTAGACTTCTGCTCTATTCTAAACACTAACCCCACACAAAATTTAGCGCCAAACTTCAGTTACCTAAATCAGCATCAAATCAAGAATTACTCAACAGAATCGGGTTGTCTGGGTTCAAAGACCCATATCTCGGGATGCAGGCGAGGTAATATCAGATGTAGTAGCATTTTGGAAAGGCTAGAGTGTAAGCTATAATATATTTTACGGACTCATATAATGTGTCTATTTTTAAGAGATTTAAAAACAAATCGGGTCAAAAAAAAATCGATAATTTAGATATAACTCACGAATCGTTATAAATAATGTGACGTACAAGTGATCACATTATTTATAACCATATAATAACTACCCAGAACGACACATATGTTTTACCTAATTTTTTGATCCACGAACACGAAATGTGCCCAATATGCCAAGTTATGGCAATTAAGTCAATTGCCACTAGTGCTTGTCTTGGTTCACTGTTATGGACAAACGTCTGAATCTACATCATTGCCGAAACTCGTCTGGTAGTATTATGCAAGGAAAAATGTTTCAAAATTGCATATACTTAGAATTTTGTGAAATGTTTGAAATAGAATTTCAGCGGACCACCATCATTATACAAGTCCAAATTAATTATAGACTAGTCAAACACAATTTTCCTGTAAGGAATGTTTGAAATATTATTTGCAAGCTATAATCTACCCAACTGGGAAAGTTTATACATGTGTGAACAATCTTCCTACTCCTTTATTTTCCAATACTTTCAAAAAAACTTGCATGAGAAGGACCTATTAACAAAATCTAAAGCCTACTGCTTTCGCTCACATAGGATGATTACAAAATAGTTCGAATCAACTATAACTGGTTGCATTTTTTTTGGTAATAATTTCTCTAAAAAAATTGTTCTTTTGTTACTTCGAATAAAAAAACTGCGAGCACTGTGTAGCTTCCTTCCATTATTCCTGCTAAATAATAAAATAAAATATTCTACATCTAAGAAAATTATTGCATTATATATAAATATATATATAGAAACTACTTTGTTTGTGTTTCAATTTTTTTGTTTTTATGTGATTTTTTTTACATACATATATTTGAAGAACTTGTAAATAAGGTGGGGTGTCTAACGTTTTATAATGTTCCATAAAATAAACTATGCACGGAGGGGGATGATTGTTATTATATTAATTACATTTGTATGACTAAATATGTTTTATGATTAAATGATAGCTTATACATAGCATTACTATCATGATAATGTTCTTTATACAACAGGAGAGGAGGAGGAGATTAATTAAAAATATATATATATATGATGTGGTGAAGCGCTTATATTTGTATTTAAGTTTATTTTATGAAAAGAAAATATATATATAAACTAATATTTTTTGTTTGATGAACAGTTTCCTTTTTTAATTATCGACAAATGCCTATTATGTCATTATTACATACTTAAGCTACAAAACTTAACACAAATTTAGTTTGTTGTTGTTTTTATTTCCTTATTTTTACTTTACTTATTTTTACTTTACTTTACTTATTTTTAAAATGAACATTTATTTACTTATGCTATTGTGTGTGTTTATTAGCATTTTGTTTTTGTGTAGATTTATAATTATTAGTTTTTATTATCCTAGATTGTATTAAGTAATTAATTATGTTTATAATATGGTTACCTTTTTCTGTTTTTTCTTTTTGTTTCTGTTTTTATGTTAAATTAATACATATGATGTCCTTTAATACATTAGCTCTTTTTGGAGAGAATTAGAATAAGTATTTGTTTCTTTTTTGAATTAACTGTATTGTATGAGTCATGGTATTTATATAATTCTTACATTTATGTGTATATATATTTGTGTGTGTGCTTCTTTTTTATAAAACAAGGAATTAATTAAAAAAAAAATAAAGACAAGTGCCAGCCAAGTAATAGTATCTTCATCTTAGTCATATCAACTTTTCGTTTTCTTTTTTTCTTTTGTTTATATTTTGTATTTTTAGTGGCACTCGGTAAATCCGAGTATTGTCTATCAAAAGTGTTTTACATTCTTCTTTTTTGTTTTCATCAGTATTCTTTACTTAAATATGTTTCTTTTTTAAAAACAAAAAAAAAAAAAATGTGAAAAACATAAAAATAATAAAAAACAAAAAAAAAATAGTCTAAAACAAATGGACATTGATGTGTTGAAGTAGTCTATGTATTGTTGTGGGGTTGTGGATTTGTATCTTCTTTATCAGTTAATGTTGTTCGCTCGCTTTCACCACCAATGCCAACCAGGAGGATATGTCGCTTCTGATGTTGCTAATGATGATGATATCCTCCATATGGTATGTAGCCACCATAATACATCATATTGCTTAGCAGATAATGATTCAACGCAATTGATTTCTGTAACAGAAAGTTAATTATGAATTTTAATGGAAAAATATATTTACATACACTTTTATCTAATTTTATTTCTTTTTTATATTTGCAAAATAAAAATGGTTATGTGAGTTGTTTGTACAAGTCTTATTCAGTACAACATTCAGACTTCTCTCTGGACTTTAGGAATTGGCAATATCTTGCCATTAACAAGAACAACTCTAAGACTGACTACAGGGTCTCAAAATCAAAATTTTCAGCATCGTCCAATAAAACGACTTCCCAAAGAGGTCTGACCTACAACTTATAGAGAACGGTACGCCATATCTGCAACCTGAACTATAATCTCTAAAAATTCTTTTTCATCAAGTTTTAGGTTATAACTTTAGATTTTTAATGATTATTTTAAGGATAGCTGAAATAAAGAGTGATTTTTGAGCTATTAGAATTTTGGCAAAACTGATTTAGCTCACGCACAGTTGAAACATGAAGCATCTTACAACCAACAACGACTGCGATCAATTGAATTTTATTATAAAAAAGAGGTTTCTATTAAGAAAGTTCAAAAAGAAAAGATGTTTTCAGCGAGGAAGCTTATTTTTGGCTCAATGAGTACGACTCCTAGTCTACCTTTAAACAATTCTTTTCGTGGGGCTAAGATAAAGCTCATGTCGCAAGGTTTTTTAATTTTATTGAATGAAAGCAAAAAATGTAGGAAATAGCATCAGATTTTAGAATAAGTTTAGATTTGTTAGAATTGGTCACCTTTGGCACGAATTATGCCCTTCTAACGGCCAATGAAACCTTTACACGCTGACTGAATGTTGCTTCCGGTGTTTTGGCCCATTCCCGGCGAAGCGCTTGCTTAAGGTGATCGACACTTTGGTATTTTTTAGTGCCAACCTTGCTTTCCAAAATACTCCAGACACAATAGTCAGCTGACCTCTTTGGCAAGTAAACACGATAATTTTGTTTGTTTACAAACTGCTGGACAACGAATGTTTTCTCATCGGAGATGGAGAAAACCAAATTCGGCAGTTCACCACTTTCGGCCAAGTGAAGCAACTCTTTAGCTCTTTTGAGTTTATTTATACCCTACACCACAAGGAGGTCAGGGTATTATGTCTTTGTGCATTTGTTTGTAACAGGCAAAGGAAACGAGATAGACCCATAGTTCCTTTTGATGATCTGCATAGAATCACATTCTGAGTCGACTTATGCATGTCCGTCCGTCCGTCCGTCTGTCCATGTATTTTTTTAAACAAAGTACAGTTCGCATTTATTACCCTATCCAGATGAAATTTTGCACAAATCATTTGTTTGGCCCAAGGACGAACCCTATTGAAATTGGAGATAATCGGTCAAAATTTATATATAGCTCCCATATATATCTTCGCCCGATTTGCCTTTTATTGTACACCAAACGTGTAATATCAGTCCGAATAGTATGGAATTTTGCACGTACGATCAGATTAGACCTGAAAATAAGTATGCCAAATATAAAGAAATCACTCTATCACGATTGAATTCTATTACGAATAACTTTTTTTCTGGAAAATTCTCACCAACATGCTTTTGTACGCTTGTAAACAATATAATGAGCTGCCACTGGAATAATTTTAACAGCTGTCGGACGAGTGGCTTAGAAACGAAAGCAGTCTGAAGTTGGTTGAAGTTTTTTTCATTTCAACCTGTATACTTAAGATGTACCACTAAAAGTATCATATATTTTGATTTGTAAAAAAACGTCTCTCATTTTCGAGAAACTTATCATATTTTCTCGTATATGCTACAAATTTTCTTATAATTTAACCGTCACATAGCCTGTCTGGGTTGGATTTACTCTACTTGGTTTGTAGATCAAAATTCTAAATGGTTTGGGGTTTTATGTCTAACTTTTTACGGGTTGTATATAGCCTTGACTATACATAAAGATACCTCAATATTTTTAGTTATTTCGCAACATTTAACACAGAGCATTTAACATTTATAGAGAGCTTTGGAATGTCTAAAGAACAATTGGCTCAAAAAATGACTCATATCGGTCCACTTTTTGGTATTGTCCCTATATAAGGGCAAACTCCGATTTTAAGTTTATTGTACGTCGTAACCTTATTATCCATGCACACTTGTATTCTGTTTCAGATTTACTTTCAAAATCAGTAATTATTGAAAAAATTTAATTTTGTCGTTAATAATTTAAAAATGCCAGTTGTAACATCTGGAACATTTTTGGTCTATTTTTTCGGGTAAATACTCACATAACCATTTTTAATTACAATACTTATCTATTCATTATATAATTTTATAGTTAATACTAACATTTCGAAATAATATTTTATATGCGATGATGCAGTGATTAAAAATAATGATGATTTTATACTCATTTTGTGCTGGGGACAACAGATGACGATGTGATAACGATGTTTTTTGTATAGATGCGTGGGTTGTGGTGTTGTGCACTTTAAAACAAATTAGACACTTTGGAGATATGATGATGATGATGATGTTTGGACGATGACGAAATTTAGTTCTATACACAATGATTTTGTTGCTTGCTATCCTTTTCTTTACAAATAATTATTGTTATACACTTTCGTATCATTAAAAACAAAAAAACAAACAAATAACAAATTTGTTGAGTGATTTTTTGGATCACACAAAAAAAAATGATATGATCGCGAGGAAAGGAATGGATAAACACATAGAATATAGAAAATAAACAAACAGTTTAGCAACAGACGTAAGCGATGGCGTTTTGTGTGATCAATGGCGGGAGATGTAAGGCATTAACTGATGGATTGATTGACTGATTGATGGATCGACTGGATATTTCTTTCTATTTTTACATTGTTGAGAAACGAACGAACGACGACTTTCAATACTTTGTGTATGCAATAAAGTTGCTTTGGAAGAGTCCATTTACCGGGGCCTTTGTCTGTTGATAAATAAAGAAATTAATTGAATTCAATTTTTTTTAAATTTAAATTTATTTAAGCAAAAATATAGAATAAACCAAAAATAAGAAAATTTATGTTAAATAAAAAGAAAACAAAAGAAAATACATTTTTTTGTTTAACGACAAAAGCGCACTTGCGGAAATGTTAAATGCAATTCAAGTACTTTGGAATTTAATGAAAGTTCAATTTTTTTGCAAGATTTCAGTTTTTTTTAAATTAATTGAAAAATGTATATTTATTTTATTTGTTTTAAATTCCATTACAATCAAACGATTTTGAAATTGGGCTCTCTTTATTCATCTAATGTAAAGGGTGATTTTTTATCTATTATCTTTTTGGCAACACTGGTTTTAAACAGCTCATGGACGTTTCGTGATTTGTTTTACTGCCAAACATGTTTAGGTTGGGCCGTAAGTTAACCATAAATCGGCTTATAAACGAACAACATTTGCAAATCATTGAATTTAATTATCAACAAGTAAAATAGCATCAGTTGATTTTGCCGACAGATTTATACACCCAACCTTGAGTTATGATTATTTAAACTGTTGACCCCTTTATGTGGGAGGCTCCGAAGCTGTTGGACAATATTGAGCAATTTGTATCGGACCTAAAACTGGTAAAAATAATACAACGTGCCAGATTTGGACTATCTCGACTACTTCCTATACTTTATGTGAGATATGTCCAACATTTTTTGAAATATGTGGAAATATGCGCGAGGCAACAGATATAGCGGAGTGAATTGTTCCATTTTTATACTTCATCTATTACAGATAAAAATATTGGTATGTCCAGGATTTGTAGGAGATCGAACATTTATATCCATGCGAAATCGCAAATTTCGATAAATTCGTATTTCCATACTCATATCAGATTTCTGGTTAGGGGAAATATTTAGGAATAGCAAGTTGTACAGAATCGCCGACTTATTTTGCAGGTTATGACAGATAGAAGTGCTAGGTCAGGTGGACAACAGATCTTGCATAAGCAAACATATTCGTATGTGTGAAATTTGAAGAGAGTTGGATACTTACTTCGTTTCTTTGAGCGCTTTGTTTTTCAAAAAATCTTGAACCATATGCGGGGAATGGTCCGATCTCTTCCATTATTATAAAAGATCTTGTGTTTATGGAAATATTGAGATGTACCAAGTCTGAATGGAATCGGATAATTATTTCGTATTATATGAGCTGAATGGATACTCAAAATATTGTTCCTATGTAAGGGAGGTACCAGAAGGAGTGGACCGATATGTCCCATCTTCATACCAGACCTTAAGTTAATAAAAATATTGTGATGTGTGTAATTTGAAGAGAACTGGATGCTTATTTCTGATTTTATGATCGTTTTGGTTATTCAAAACTTCGACACTTTGTGGGGGATGTACTGGAAGAAATGGTCCGATCGATGTTCCAAATCTGAATGGAGTCGGATGTTAATTTCGCGTTGTATGAGCTTCATGGATACTCAAAATTTTTATCCTTTGTGGGGGAGGTACCAGAAGAAGTGAACCTATATTGTCCATCTTCCCACCAGATCTTGGGTTAGTACAAATATGGTTATGTGTCTAGTTTGAAGACAACCGGACACTTATATCATTTTATAAGAGTTATAATTATTCAAAAATGTGACCCTTTGTGGAGGAGGTAGTGGACCGATATTGCTCATTTTACCACCTGACCTAGCACTGATGCAAATATTAGGTTTCGCAATGTTGGAGCAAAATCGGATTATCGTTTCTCTCTCTGTGCATAAAATATATTTTTTTTAAATTTCGACTTTTTGTGGGGGATGTACCAGAAGGATATTGCCATCTCCGAACTCGATCTAAGTTTGAGAAAAATATTACGATGTGCCAAGTTCGGACCAAATCGAATACTCCAGCTAGACAGACGGACGGATTTGGTCCAAAGAGACCTAGGGTCTAAAACTGTTATTTCGATGAGGCACGTTTTGGCCGTATTAAATGATATATACCCTCTCTAGCCATATGGTGCCCTCTCTATATATGGTATAGAAAGCGTACTCTGTTGAGAAAACTCATCGCACGCTTCTTCCATTTTGCGGCAAAGCTCATTTTTGGCTCAATGGGTATGTTGTAAATAAGCAGAATGGTCGATTTTGGAGTATAGATTAGTCAGAAGCATTGCAAAAGCTACCAATGCATCCAGAAAAAGTCACAGTTTGGTATGGTTTATTTGCCGCCTAGATCGTGCGATCGCCCTTGAACTATTATTTCGGGAGCTTCTTTAAGGTATAGACATACCGGAGAGCCCGATTGAATTGGCGCAATGGAAGTCAACATTGAAGTATTTAATTCGAAAGATATCTGCCAAAATGTGGGAAAGTATGCCAAAATTGGACTAAGCGTTTGTAACATTTAAGGCCCTGTCGCGGTGGTCAACATTTTCATGAAAAAAAAATAAAAATGCCATGCCTTTTTCTAAATTTTAAGAGTTTTTTGAAAAACTATCCAATGACTCTAAAAAATCACCCTTCAGATGAAAAATGTCTTTCTATTGAAAACTTGTACAAATTAGATGGCAATTTTGTTTTAAAAAATTAGGAAATTAAAGAAAAATCATTAAAAATGTCTGTTCTTTGATATTTTCAGACTTGTCGTCCTTTTTGCTTTTCGTTTGTTTCTTCTTGATATTCTTTTGGTTTTTGGATTTCCTTTTTTGTTACAGTTGTTGTTGTTGTTCTTGTTGTAAATACTTACCGGAAATATTGATCATGCAATGACTGACGCTGGAATTCAGCGGCCTGTAAATACTGTATATATGTAATTAATGAGTAAAAAAGTTTATCGAGGGTAATGGAAAACCTGAAGTTGATCAGCATAAGACATTCGCAGCAATACATCTGAGTGCGGCTCCCTAGGCATAAGCATATTTGGACGTGGAAATTGACCAACATTCGCTGCTTTTTGGTGTAGTGCGTGGTTGTGTGAGGAAGTTGACGGGCATTGTTGTCATCGTCGTCGAAAAAATTGTTGCGATATAATTGTCAATTCCAGCGTAGAAGGAGAAGGAGTGGTGGGACGGGATATGTTTGTATGCGCACACACACCCACACACACAGAGACACACAGATTTATACATAAGAGACAATTTTTACACGATGCATGATGATTTCAATTGAGCGATTGATGCAGGATGATTGTAGTATGCAATTGCACGTAATACGACAGGACAGGACAAAATCACAATGAATGTCAAAAAATAAAGATAAAGAGATAAAAAATATATTTGTTTATTTCAATGTAACACAAGTACGTCATTATTATTATTATACTACTGAGAATATTAACAAAAAGAAATCGGAAGTCATTATACCCTACAACACTATGTGTTGGGGGTATTATTAGTTTGATTGGGCCAAAAATTATGTAACACCTCGAAATATTGGTTTCCCACATAGGAAAGTATATGTATATAGATTTTCCTACCTCGCCGAGCTGAGTCGATCTAACTTTGTATGTCCGTCCGCCCATATTAATTTTTAATCACTCTACAGATAGCAATTATGGCCCGATCTTCACGAAATTTAGAATGGTGGTGGTGCCAGGGCCAGAATAAAAGCCTATTGCTTTTGGAGATGATCACAAAATATTTAGGGGTTAAAATGAACCATAAACAGAAAAAATTTTCTGATCACACAATTGAAGCCAAACGACATGCCTGAGAAGAGAATTAAGGACAGGGAAGAATTCTAGAATTTTGGATGACCATTGGATTATATTTAGCGGTAAAATGGACCATAACAACTAAAAGCACGGCGGAGTACGTAAATATTGGGCAAATATCCCTGGTCAAAATGCTTAGGGTAATACCTGAGCCCTGCCCACTCCGTGACATAATTGAGAAAGCGAAATCTTCCAAAAAGAATTTGGACATAAGGGGGCTACAACATATTGTAGTATTGTAGGGTATCTCATGGTCGGTCTCGAACGACTACAGCCTTTGCTTACTTGTTTTTTCAAAAAGGGGATTATTTTCTGCTTTGAATTTTAAGGATTTATAAAATTGAAATTTTGAAATCCATCAGAGTATTAAAGAAAAATATATAGGTCTATTAGGCATTTTATAGAAGCTCTGTTAATGGTCGTCCATATCCATAGAAGACCTGTTGAAGGTCTTCCGACTATAGAAAACCTGTTGAAGGACTTCTGACTACAGAAGGCCGCTTTAATGTCTCCTGCCTATAGAAAACCTGTTAAAGGTCTCTTGTCTATAGAAAACCTAAAAGGTCTTCTGACTATAGAAGACCCATTGAAAGTCTTGTGGCTAGAGAACGCATTCGGTTCTTCTGACAAATAGCATTTATTTTTGTATTCATTATTTAGAGGACTTTTAGAAAAATAAACACCAAGAATTTGTTATTGCTCTCATTTCTAAGCCACTCGTCAGACAGCTGTTAAAATTATCCCAGTGACAGCTCATTATAATTTTTACAAGCGTATAAAAGCATTTTGGTGAGAATTTTCCAGAAAAAGTTATTCGTGATGGAATTCAGGCGTGATAGTGTGATTTCTTTATATTTGGCTGGAAAACTACAAGTGGCTATCGTTAGACCACTCCTGAACATATCGCAATATTCCATTCGGCAAATATTTAAATGAGCTCGGGATAAAGCCATTGAATTTCCAAAAAGTGCAAGAGAAATAGACTCAAAAGAGCTAAAGAGTTGCTTCGCTTATTCGGGCTTATTTCTTCATTTCCTTATCTTCTCTCTATTCTATTCTCGTATTTTCCTAATTAGGATGAACACAATGCCCCAAAAGTTCTACGAGTGGAGTGGTAGGTTTTTCTTACAACCGCGCATCCTTTAACGTAACCTAACCTAACCTAACATTCGGGCAGCATGTGACGGCTTCATTGGCCGTTTGAAGGCCATAATTCGTGCCAAAGGTGACCAATTCGAACAAATTTAAACTTATTCTAAAATTTGATGCTATTTCCGACATTTTTTGCTATCATTCAATAAAATTTAAAAAAAAAATAAAAAATTATGGCGTTTGATTTGTTGCAGTTTTTTTATCTCACCCTGATATGGGAGTTATATCAAAATTTTGACCGATTATTTCCAATTTCAATAGGCTTCGTCCTTGAGCTAAACAAACGATTTGTGCAAAATACCATCTCGATGGGACTATAAATACGACCTGTACTTTGTTTACAAAAATACATGGGCAGACAGACGGACGGACATGTATAAATCGACTCGACTCGACTCAAAAGGAATTATGGGTCTAACTCGCTTCCTTCTCTATGTTACAAGAAAAAAATGCACAAAGACATAATACCCTGACCACAGTGTAGTATAGGGTATAAAAATCTATTTTATAAACCAAAAAATTGGTTGCAGAAAGAACATAAAAGCGATCATTTTAAGATTTTCGACAACATTTACCAAGACGTTGTCTCTTTGCCTACAATCGCGGGTTCCTAAGGAAATTTTCCAAGGACAAGCAAAAGAAACCTAACCTAACTATTTTTTTAACCAAATATATTGGTACTAGCCATAATCATGGGTTATTATTAATATTTTTCCTAACAGAGCATCACAAGAAAGTTTTTTTCTCTGCTTTAGACCTTGAGTTCTTAGGGATATTCTTCAAGGGCAAGCAAAAGCAACTTCTTCACCCACAAAGTATTAATTGTATAACCCAAAAATCAGCTCTAACTGTTTAATTACATGGTTTCTTAATATTATTATTACATTTTTTATTTTGTTAATATTCTCGTAGATATAATTCTTTTTTTGTAAATTTTACACAAACTCACGTGGTAGTTGAAATCCGGCCTCTGGTGGTTGCGGCTGTGGGGGCAAAGGCAAATGTAAATGAGTATGAGAATGCGCATGTGCATGATATTCTCTCGTCAATCGTATCTGAAAATTTATAGTTTCAAAACAAAAAAAAAAAGAAAGAGGGTACGTGGCGAATTTCCAGTTTTAGTGTCATGGTGTTTCACAAAAAGTAGAGAGAAAGAGATCAAGAAATGTTTGATTTTGAAAATCATTTCAATTTCTTACATTATGAGAAGAGAACATGACAACAAACGGCTCAAGAAGTAGGAGGCTTTTGTGAGGAGTCTATTTTTTATTGCAATTAATTGAATTTGTTTGTTTTGAAATTGGTTAAGAAAAAGCAGCACTGGATATTCAAACATTGGATGAGATTAAAAAGTTAAACAAAGTGCATTTGGGTTAATTTGGTATGCCGAAAGGAGAACAATGGAATTGTTTGCTGTTAAACATTGAATGTTATTTATTATTTGGCAATTATGAGAATTTTATTTTTTTTACGGAAATGTGGTTAATCTGCTGTTTGTTAAAGAACAATGAAATTGTCTGAATTGTTAATAATGAGAAAATGACACAAAATTTAGTTGTATTTTTCAAAAATTTTCACAAAAACAATTTAAAACTGGTGGCAAAAAATAGTGTCGCGGGACTTGTTTTTATTTTTCGTTTCATTTTTTTTTGGTAGTGTTGGTGGTTAATTCGCAAAAAATAAAAACACAAATTGTTTCATTTATTAGAGTTCCAAATACGATTGAGTGATTGAATGATTGCTGATATATGTAACATTTTTTTTTTGGTTTTTGGTTTTTCATATAATATTTACAACAATTAATACTGTGAGACTTATATAATTATAAACAAAACAAATGAATGAAATGTAAGTAAAAAAATTGTATCCATATTTTTTGTTACTTTTTTAAGTAATAATAATTACTTACCATATGTTCACTGGGATCGAGGCCAACATGATGTGGTGGTATACCCAAACGTTCTCTTTCAATTTGTGATATGGCTGCCGGATTTGGATATAGGGGAAACTGTGAGGGATGTATACCACTGTAAAGGGGGAAAGAGAAACAGAGATGATTAAAATAGCGAATGGACTACTAGCGGAGACATAATGGTGTACTTTATGGCCTCTGGGACCATCTAATCTACAGCGGTCCTGGGTCTCTGGGCCCATCTACGCTATAGTAGAAGGCATCTAGGTGCAACTACTCAAGATTAGATGGTCTCTGGGCGCATCTAATCAACCGTAGATGATTTCTGAACGCATCTACTTTGCCGTAGATGGTCTCGGGGAATATCTACTCTACCGTAGATGGTCTCGGGGTTCATCTACTCTACCGTAGATTGTCACTGGTTGCATCTACTCTACAGTAGAGGACCTCTGGGTCCACCTACTGTAAAGTAGATGATCTCTGGGTCCACCTACTCCACAGTAGATGACCTCTGGGACCATCTACTTTACAGTAGATGACCTCTGGGACCATCTACTTTACAGTAGATGACCTCTGGGACCATCTACTTTACAGTAGATGACCTCTGGGACCATCTACATTACAGTAGATGACCTCTGGGTCCATTTACTCTACAGTAGATGACCTCTGGGTCCATCTACTCTACAGTAGATGACCTCTGGGTCCATCTACTCTACAGTGGATGACCTCTGGGTCCATTTACTCTACAGTAGATGACCTCTGGGTCCATCTACTCTACAGTAGATGACCTCTGGGTCCATCTACTCTACAGTAGATGACCTCTGGGTCCATCTACTCTACAGTAGATGGCCTCTGGGTCCATCTACTCTACAGTGGATGACCTCTGGGTCCATTTACTCTACAGTAGATGACCTCTGGGTCCATTTACTCTACAGTAGATGACCTCTGGGTCCATCTACTCTACAGTGGATGACCTCTGGGTCCATTTACTCTACAGTAGATGACCTCTGGGTCCATCTACTCTACAGTGGATGACCTCTGGGTCCATTTACTCTACAGTAGATGACCTCTGGGTCCATTTACTCTACAGTAGATGACCGCCGAGTCCATCTACTCCACAGAAGATGACCTCTGGGTCCATCTACCCTACATTAGATGACTGCTGGGTCCATCTACTCTACAGTAGATGACTGCTGGGTCCATCTACTCTACAGTAGATGACCGCTGGGTCCATCTACTCTACAGGATATTCATAGTATATGACATCTGGGTCCATCTATTCTGCAGCTGATGGCCTCTGGGTTCATATACACTGCAGTAAATGGTCTGTGGGCCCATCTACTATACAGTAGATGGGTCTGGATTTTAATGGGTCTGTATTTTAAATACATTTTCTTCCGAGCAATTAGGGACATGTTTATAGTCTGTAAGGATATTTTTTCACACACACACACATACCGTCTATAATATTCCATCCAATGTGGATCTAAACGTGATTGGCCAGCAGCTGCAGCAGCTTGTGCGTTTTTAAGCTCTTCCAGTTCTCTGAAATTTAATAAAGCAATTTTGGATTATAAATCAAGTTGAATTGAAATTAAAAAAACGCTAAACAACGCATGAAATGACAATGAGTAATTAACTAATGGCATTATATAAATAAAAAAGACTACAAAACATGCACAAAAATATATAAAAAATAACAAAGAATAAAAAATGAAGATATAAGCATAATATTTTAGTATTCAGAAACATATAAATATATGAAGAAAAATAATGTGGTTTTGGGAGAGACGGACGAATGATTTTTTTTTTTTTTTTTATTTTACATTCTCGTCTCACCCATAAATTTATGGTATGTTTTTGTATGACGATTCGAAAGTAAACTGGAAAAAAATCACCATCTCCTTGCATATTTTTATTTTATTAAAAAAATACTAAAATGGAATTGGCGTATATCTTTCGAACTCACTTTCGTATCGCAATAAGAAAGGACATTTTTTCTCTCCTAAAAATATCATTTTATATTCTTTATATAATCGTCCATTTAAATGTAAGCAAAAAAACAGTACAAATTAAATTAAAGCAAACCAAAAAAAAGTAAAGCAAAGCAAATGATTTTTTAAACAAGCAATGATATGATGAAGCGCAGAATGAAATTCTGTTCTTAATAATTATAAATGTATTGAATATTTAATGTATTTATTGTATGTACCTTTCTCTACTGTACATGGGTCCCATTGGATGATGATAGGGTACCATCTGTTCAACAGGACTGAAATTATTGGAAACAATTTTTATTAACAATTACAACAATGGCGTTTAATTCTAAATATTTTTGTATCGATGTGACTCTGTATCGATGTGACTCGAACAAATGCAAATAAGAGATTAACAATCGTATATAGAAAATAGATAGATGTTCTACTAGAATAAGAGTAAAAAATAAATCAATATTAAATAGAGCTCAAAACTAATAACACAGAATATACAAATAAGACTTAATTTGTCAAAATTAGAAAAATACTTTATAAGTCTGAAGGCAGTATCTCTGCCATTTTGTAACAAAAATCTGAATATAAACATATTATTTTTGAAGAGAATTGTAATTCAAATTTGTGCTGTGGCGTCAAAAAAATAATTATTTAAAAATACGGAAATTTTCGTACAGTATCTTCTGGCATATGATTATGCTGACGTAAGGGAAGAACCTGCGTCTCTACCCCTTCTTCATCCTTGCAGTAGTAGGAATCACTCCTAGTCCATTTTAGGTTCAATTATCTGATACTACAGTGATCAGTCAATATGCCTACCGCGTTTCTTAGATCACACCTACTAACTAACCGATTGATTGAGAACTTTGGAATCAATTCCACCAAACGAGGCACCCAAAGATATTAGCAGATAAATCAATAGTCGCAACTTATCAGTACTTCATTGATCACCAGAAGACAAAGCTGGAGGGGGAGTAATCCTTCTCTCTGCTGACAGTCTTCCTAATCAAGTTTTTCTGCTTTTTAGCATTTTTCCAATCCACTCCTAGAGGATAGAGGAAATACCAGAGGTATGGAGAGCAATGAGGATCAACCCCGGCTTCACATTTTTAAAATCCAGATGGTACTGCAAGATGGCCAATACCCACTCAGATGAAATTTGCAACATAGCAGGTATTATACCACTATCAAGACCAGGAGTCTTGAAGGATGAGTCTCTCATCTTCCGCTGTTTATTGATATATAGACCAGAGCTTGTCCCCATATCATAATACCGCTCTATACTACCTTTGGGGTTTGGGGTCCTTCAACAAAATCGGGCACCATTATCCACTTCCTCTGTAGAGCCTTCTCTAACTCACTTATGTTAAACCTTCTCTAACTCACTTTTATACTTATTAAAGTCTGCCATATAGACGTTTCAATAAGCACTGTAAAGATTATAACAAAGGTTGAATAAATTGAAAATGGTTGAGCTGTACTGCTTCTGTTATATGACTTTGCTGCTACGTGGCATTTAGTCCACCAGAGTGGCTGGGATTTTTTTTCTAAAATTTTTAATATCTTGAACGAAAGACTTTGGTGAGAATATTCTAAGTTCAGTCGAAGTCATTGGATTATTACAGATCTCGAGGATATCTCAACTTGAACTTAAGACTTGGAGTTAATTCTATTCTTCCTTAGAAAGTAGTAACTTGAAAGAATATTTCAATGATTTGAAAAAGAACACTTATCAGATAACTTCCAGTTGCTTACAGCATTGGAAAAGTTTCAAAGTGTGATTAGAGAAGATATTGATTAGTAATTTTAAAAGGGATAGAAAGGTCTAACGAGTGGGTATCGTAGGCCAAAATATCGTTATCTAATATAGCTTACTTATTATTAGCTGTAGATCCCTTACTCTAAGTCTATTGCTAAATAGCCTCGGATTTATATAGCAAATGCTCAATCACTTTAACCTGCGATAGATCATATATTTTTCTTCCCTCTGTAATAAACCCTAAGAAGTGTTCTATAGAATGAAGAGTTTTGAGTAGGTCTCCTGTAAACAGATAGGAATTCTACAGATAGAAAATATGTAACTAAGTCTTCAATTGATAGTGAGGTATTTTATAAAAAGAAAAATCGGCTTGGACTTCACTCTAGATTTAAGATCTCCAAAGAGATCACAATTTCTGATTTTTGATCAATTTGATTGAAATCTCTACAAAGCAAAACACATACACACACTTCGGAATTACAAAATCATATACATTTTATAAAACCTATAATCAAACTAAAACAAACAACTAAATGAAAATTAAAATCAAAACATTTCACAACATACCTGAAGCCAACGTGTGGTCTGGCATATTCGGATAATTGTCGCAGGGCTGGGGTGTCACTGTATGGAGGTTTAAGTTCCGCTTTAAGTTTAGCTTGTTGTGCCGCCTGTTGAGCAGCAACAGCTTGTTGCTGTTGTTGTTGCTGCTGCATTTGTTGTTGCTATGGCAGATTCAGGGAAAAAGAAAGGCGTTTAAATAAAAATATATACAAATAAAATTCGGTTAGAACGAACCTGTCGTCTTTCACGCTCCTTCTCAGCTAATTTACGATCACGATCTTCACGTTTTCGAGCCAATTTAGAATCGGCAACTGGTTTGAATATCAAATCTGTTCTGGTACATGAATTGTAATCACCGCGATCAATATGGCGTACGAAACTGAAAAAATGAGGGAGAAACATTAAAAACAACTCCTTGCTAAAAATCACAATCTTGTCATGCTTACATAGCTGATTGGGATCGATGGCATTCGGTATCGTCGGGCTTGGCTTCAGGACTAGGACCACGCGGTATATTGTGTGTTGGACTAGGTATTTCCGGTTCCGGATCCGGCTCAATTTCAATGGGCACTACAACAAATAAAAAAATCAGTCAAATGAAAAAATATTACATCCCATTTATAAAAAAATATCAAAAACTCACGTGGCTCTGTGGGATGATGATGGGGCTGAGGAGGTCCTACCAAACCAGAGCTGGCCGAATGAGCGTGTGCTCGCAAAGCATCCATATGCGATGTGGGCTGCATCATGTGTGGTGGTTTGCCCACTTCCTGGAACGGCGAAACATGCGGCGGTGGTGGATAGCCAGGAATATGAGAGCCTGGATATCCAGCTGGTGGTAGACCGGTAGGCGTTGTTTGTTGACCTGGTGGTCCCGATGGCCCACCATTACCATTATTGTTGCTCTGTGGTGTCTTTGGTGTTGGCGGTTTATTTTGTTGTTGCTGCTGCTGTTGGTGTTGCTGTTGTTGATGTTGCTGCTGCTGTTGTTGCTGCTGTTGTTGTTGCTGCTGCTGCTGCTGTTGCTGCTGCTGTTGTTGTTGCTGCTGCTGTTGATGCTGCAGATGTTGTTGCTGTTGTTGATGTTGCAAATGTTGCTGTTGTTGTTGCTGCTGCTGCTGAGCTTGCTGTTGCTGCATTTGTTGCTGTTTTTGTTTTTCAACAGCAGCCGCCAGTGCAGGATCATCCGGCCGTGTCGGTGGTGGACCTTGCAAACCGGGATGATGTGCCGCAGCCATCACTGCCTGTTCTAAAGATCCACCCGGACCCGGTGGTTTGATGTACGCAGGGAAACCGGGTCCATACGGACCATAACCATAGGGCGAATTAAACGGACTATGATGATGCGGTGAATAGAACATGGAGGGGTGCAGTAGCGGATGTGGATATGGAGATTGTCCCGGATGTACCCCGATTGGTGGCATTCCAGCCCCAGCAGGTAAAAGCGGCAACGGCAGTGGCATTTGAGGATGGCGTATCACAGGCGGAGATGCACCCGGTCGCAAATGGGGTGGAGGCGATGCTCCCAATCCACGTTGACCAGACTGCGGTCCGTACATTTTACTCAGTGGACTGGCCATTAGACCGGAAGCACTCGATACCGGTGGCGGTGTCATGTGCGGCGATTGCTGGCGCAGCAGGGCGTGCCTATCACGTTCAGCCACCGCCGCAGCAGCTGCCGAAAGGGCCGACGACGAAGGATGGTGGCTAAGCGGGGATTGTGGCACCGGATGCAAGGGACTTTGCCGACTAAGACTGCCCACACTTGATGCCGGCGACGAGGAACGATGAGCTCCTCCTGCCGATGTATTCAAGCCACTGGGAGTTCCCGAATTACTACTACCACCACCGGGATGTGGTGGTCCCCCAAGTGATCCACCCGGACCGCCAGCAGCCGAGTTGTTGGAAACACTGGGACTGGCTCGACTAAATGCGGACGATGGAACAGTGCTGGTTGTCGACATAGAGGTAGCTGCAGAAACTGGAGGAGGATTGGAGCCATGTGTGGGCATTGGTCCACTGGCTGAAGAGACTGGTGGTGGTTGCGCCGATTGCATGTGTGACGCTGGTGGCGTTCTCCGACTAAGGCCTGATTCAGGCAAACTATTCAGTGATGGTGGTCCAGCCAACAATGCCAAAGGACCTGCTCCAGGTCCCAAACCGGCAAGAGAATGTGGAAGCATGTGATGTGCAGCATGCGCCGGATGACCAGGTGGCAAGTGAGCCAAATGGGGATGAATGGGCATGGGATGCCCAATGAGACCAGGAGGAACATTGCTGGCCAAACCCGGCAATGGAGATGTACGATGGGTATGTGGTGACTGCTGCGGTGGTGGTCCAATTGATGACGATGGCTGTGAAGTCGGTGGATCACGTAATTGTGAGGATTGAGGACCGGCACCACCGCTGGACCTGTCTTCGTGCAAGCCAAGGCGCTGTGGTTGTGGCTGAGCTGGTGATGGAGTTCGCACGGTACCCGAGGAAAGTTGAGACTGCTGAGATTGCTGACCATGTGGTCCCAAACCATGACCGGATAGTGAGAGGGGTGGACCATTACGTGGATCGTGATTTTGCAATGACAGCGGAATAGGGGCATGCGGATGCATTGGTCCGCCGGCTCCAGGTGGCAGCTCGGCATGCGGTCTATGCAATTGCGGCAAATGGCCAGGAGGCAAATGTTGAGGATGCATTCCTGACGGAGCCATTGAGGAAATACTGTGCGGAGGTCCAGAACCACTAACCGATGTAGGTGGTGCAGAAGAGGATGCCAGATAACTGGGATGGTGTAAACCTTGGGGTCCGCTGCCTCCGCTCGATGATGTCGGCGTGGGATGGTGTATTATTCCTTGAGACTGGGACCCGGGACCACCGCCTGGTGTGGAGCCTTGTGGAGGACCTGAACCAGGTGGTACCTGGCTTTGATGCGACGATGGTGGCATGGACAAGGGTCCGCCGTGAGGAGAAATCAAATTCTGTGGATGCATACCTGGCGGTAGACCGCCGCCAGCTGGCGATGGCATATGTGGTGAGGGATGGGGTGACTGGAATTGCTGTTGTGTTGAAGGCAGGGAACTACTATTACTGCTTTGGCTATCTTGTCCGGGAGTGGAACGAGCTGAAGCATCAATGGGACTTTCCGAAGGTGGGTATTTTAGGCCCACCTCATGTGGTCCACCGCTGCCATACGGCACGGGTTTGATTAAATTCTCGCCATATGGGGATGGTTTCAAACCTCCACCGGTACTCATGTCCGTGGGCGGTCCTTGCAGCGGTGGATATTTCAGATCTTGTGGACCATATTTTCCCACCATCGGATCGCCATATTTCATCATTAGGCCTGCAGCTGTTTCGAAGGGGGGCCGGGCCATCGGATGTTGCACTTGATGCTCATAATGAGGCTTGGGCATGGCAATGCCGGGTGGAGGTGTTGCGCCGGGTGGTTGGCCATGTGTTGGTGGAGGTGGCGGCTCCTGGGGACCGCCAATGAATTTATGTTGGGGAGGATTATCACTGGTAGGAGTTGCGGCGCTGCTTACTGGAGGCGGTCCCAGATTGGGAGGAGGATAACCTCCCTTTAGATCTTGTATCTTTGATGGAGCCTCACCCCCACCTCCATAAGGCTTACCCGATGACGGAGGTCCATGAGGCGACGAAAGATCTCCCGGAAATTTACCTGTGTGTGGATCAATCATGAATTTCATATCAAATTTACCAGCTGCTGTTGCGGCATGCATTTCCTGGCTGTATTTAAGAGATTCCATCGATTGTGGTGGTGGATATTTCAAATCCTGTGGAACAAACTTTCCTGGTTCGTATTTTATACCATCTGGGAATTTGTGTTCCAATTCACCAGGATATTTCTGTTGAGGCGGAGGATGTAAGGGGGGACCAGATGTTGGTGGAGGAGGACCACTATTGCTGTTGTTGGGCGGTGGCGGTCCATTGTTGTTGTCATTGGCCATAGATGAGGGTGGTAATGGTGGTGGCGGTTGATTTGCTTGCGTTGGTGGAGGTGCAAACTTAAGATGGCCACCCTCAACAATATATCCTGGTGGTGGCCCTCCAACAAGAGAGTGTTGTAAATGACTTGGCGGTGGCAGCTGTGGTGGGCCGCCGCCGCCGCCATCCGATCCATCTCCTCCTCTCTTGGTTGTAAGAGACATTGGTGCATGGGGACCACCTGGGTGGCCAGTTGGCGGAAGGCCCATAACTGGAGGTTTTATATCCTCACTTTTTACCTCAATCTTAACTTTGAGATCTTGAGGCTCATTGCTATTCTGATTGCAGACGGCATCCATAACGGCATCCTTTGGTTCCTTTTTGAAGTACATTACCTCCGGCATTATCGTTTGTGGCGGCTGTGGAGGTTGTGCCGACTGGACGGCACTCTGTGGAGGCGTTCCAATTTCCTGTTTCATGTTGGCCAGTTTCTTCAACATGTCTTTGGGCATATCGGTGTCCATCATTTCCAATTTACCAACTTCCATTTTACGATCGACAGATGCATTGAGTGCCTCGACCGTTGGCACCTTAAGCGGTGGCAGAGCAACTGGCGATTGTGCTGATGGATTGCCGCTGACAGCAACAGCAACTCCAGTTGCCTGTAGTGGTGTCGTCGTCGTCGTCGTCTTCGAGGGTGATATAGCTAAAGGATCTTCTTTGGGTGGTTTTATGTCTTTGAGACTGTTGCTGTCGGTGGTAACCGAAACCATGGCAGCGTTGGGCATTGATGATGGTGCCTGAATATTCGTCTCCTCGTCGACATTTTTGATTTTATCTTTAATGTCGGTTTCGGGTATTAATTGCTTGGTGTCTGCTTTCTGAATCACATTCTTATCGCTCTTGGCCGAATCAAGTTCGCTATTGCCACTACTGCTCTCTTCCTTGCTGGAAGTGGTGCTCTCTTTGCTGTCTTTGTTTGATTGCTGTTCGTTGGTATCGGTGTTGGTGGACTCGCCATCGTCCATGGCCGAATCGGAACGACTGTCTGAGTTAGTGCTTTCGACCGGGCTCTCGGCACGTTTGCGTTTATCCTTGGATATTGATATTGCGACTGTGGGTACGGGGGCACTGTTATCCGTTGACTCGTCCTGATTGTCAATGGTTGAGCTGCTGCCGGTGACAGAGCCCTCTGTGTCGTTTCGTTTCTTTTTGTTCGGTGTCTCTTGGCGGCCGGTTTTACGTTTATTCGCCGCACCTCCACCCTCCGATGCTGGTGGTTTTGTGGGTGTTTTGGGATTGTCCACCACTCCTCCCGCACCAGCAGCCCCCGCAGTGGCCGAGGCCGCAACATTGTCAGGCGTCTCGGAGCCACGTTTGGGCCGTTTGCCATTTGCTGTCGGCTGTGGCTGGGTGACCTGTGTCTGGTCACACTTGCCCGCTCCTCCCGTCGTCGTTTGTGGTTTGTTTCTCGTCCTCATTCTGGACGGTGATTCATCCCTTTTATGGGTCAAACTTGAATCGCTGTCGCACTCGCTTACGTCGTCCTCGGTCAGAGAACTGGTCTCTTCCTTGGTGACAACTGGCGAAGCGCGACCTTTGTCTGCGGCCGCCGTCGACGCCGTCGTCGTCGCCGTCGTTGTCGTCGTTGTCGAGGCAGATGCAGCAGATTGCGGTTCGGGTGTGTCCTCCTTTTTCGGAGGCGTATTGCTGGCCCGTGTAACACGATTGCGACGCAAAGCACTCTGGCGGCGTCTACGATGCGGGCGATTACTGTTGGCGCTGGGTGTCTTCTTCCACAAATAGTAGAACTCAACTAATTCCGGTGTCTCTTTGTGTGGCAATAAATCCTTTTGGATTCTAAAAAAATTCTTTCCAAATTGTCTCAGACCTTTAATGAATTTCTTAATTTCGTCTTCGCACCATTTCTTTTCGATGCTCTTTGTTAGGGGGGCTTTTACTAGTGCTTGCAATGCTTTACCGGGATCATAACCATTGTCGTGTAACTGAAAGAAACCAGAAAAAAAATGAAGTTAGTCTAAAGATTGATCTGAAATTTAAAAAAAAATAGATACTTTATAGGTGGCATTGGTAATGGGAAATATTTTTCCATCATCCATTTCGATGTAATACGAATAGGTTGAATAATATTCGTAACTGTTGCCGAGTGTGTTCTCTTCGTATTCCATTGTAGATTACGTAATATTTTCTTTCGAGAAGAAATGAATTTGTTTTCAAATCTTTTCCTGTCACCAGGCGCCGTTAGAAGCACATGACTGACAGATAGAGGTGAAACGTGTAAATTTAAATTTCGAAAATCATATAAACCATTACTCAATGTCTCCTCTTCTTTTGCAATGGACCCTAAAGATCAATATCTAACAAACTAGTCTTTTTTAATTCAAAAACAATTATTGTTTAAATAAAAATTTTCCAATATCAGATTACCAAAATAATTTGGACATAAATGATTTATAATTATCAGCGCTATCATTAAATATAATTACGGTTTTAATCAAAACGGTGCAGCTAGCACAGGTTTAAAATTTATTTGGTAATTTGGACGGGGATAGGAAACATGTATTTGTTTTATATTTTCAAGTTGTATTTTGAAGTTGAAAATTAAATATGTCATCTGAACAAAAGTATCGGATAGTGAATGAATATTATATATGAAGACTCCCAGAATAAGATGCGACTACTGGTGAATATAGAAAACTATCCATCCTTGGACCTATCTTTTACCATCGTCCTATAATGTAAGTCAAATTATCATGAATTCACAGTGACTCTGATAAAGTATGTAAATTATTTCCGGTAAGATTATTATTAATTATCAAAAATTGTATTTGATCTAAAGTATATTTCTCATATCTCTCCAGACTCAACTTTTATATCTTTTCATGTGGACCGCTATAAACTTATGGTATGCAGCAATTGCATTTCCCGAACCTATCAAAATGAAAAGGGCATGGAATGTAACTCCGGTAGAAAAAAAAAATGGATTAGAGTATTCGAATCCTAATTCATTTATAAGAATGAAAGACAAAACCATTCATTCCATCTAACAAATAATGAAAAAAAAAAACTTCAAGTGATGTAAAAGAATATGTCTTCGTTAAGGATGAGGTCTTCAAAGTAAAGAAGGCCTTCAAGAGGTCTTCTTTCGACTGAAGACCTTGGGTATATTTTGATTTTATATTGACTAAAGACCATCCGGAGACCTTCTATGGAAACTAACGAAAGATGAATGGAAACCACATAAGAGTTGTCTAAGAACTATAGTCAAATCTGTTTCGGAGAGTTCAAAAACATGTGTTTCTTTACAGTTTTTAATTATTTGTCTGTTGCAGCATAATTCCTACTTCTAATAGTGCTATAGGAACTTAATGCTCTATCTATCACGCAATTTCCTGGTAGTATCATTCGTAATGATGAACTTGGGTCACTTAACAACTTCATACAAGGAGTTAAATAAAGTGCTTCGTATTTGGCAAACAAATAAGAATAATTTCGAAACGGCCGCTGCCGGACCACTTTTCCTCCTCACAAAGGCCTTTGTAAATAAGGTAGAACATATCAGTTATACATAAGGTAAAAAACAAATTGAAATAAAAATATTTTTATTAAAATTGTTTTCATAAATAGGAAGAAGCTCATTTGTGAATGGATATTTGATGATTTTTCTTTCGGGTTGTTAATGGCCTTATGACCTACGGAGATGGCACGAAATGTCAACAATTTCATAGTAAAGAAAGAAGAAAGAATTTACTGCACAGATAGAGAAAGAATAATTCGATTTTACTCCAACTTTGCAAATCCCAATATTTGCATCAGTGCTAAGTCAGGTCCGAAAATGGACAATATCAATTCATTCCATCCAGTACCTCCCTCACAAAGGTTAAAATTTTTTAACAATTATAACTCTTATAAAATGTCATGTAAGTGCCCGATTATCTTCAAATTACACATATCAGAATATTTTTATTAACCCAAGGACTGATGTGAAGATGGATTATATCGGTACACTCCTTTTGGTACTTCCCCAAAAACGGTCAAATTTTTAAATATTCATTGAGCTTATAAAACACGAAATTAACATCCGATTCCTTTCAAATTTCGCACATCTCAATATTTCCATCAACACAAAGATGTCAAATAAGAATGAAAGAGATCGGACCACTCCTTCTGGTACCTCCCCCACATAGGGTCAAAAATTTGAGTATCCACGGAGCTCATTAAGCGGGAAATTAACATCCGATTCTATTCAGACTTGGTACATCTCAATATTTCATCAGCACAAGATCGATTATAAAGATGGCACGTATCGGAACATTTCTTCTGGTACCTCCCCCACATGGGTTCAAGATTTTGAAAAACAAAACGCTCAAAGAAAGCGAAATAAGCATCCAACTATCTTTGAATTTCACACATCCAAATATTTTTGCTAACCCAAGATCTGTGGTGAAGATGATATATCTTCTCACCCACAAAGGGTCACAATTTCTAGTATTAATATCTGCTCTAACTTGCGAAACGTGTCGGCGGGTTTTTACAACTTGCTATATCTAAATATTTCTCTTAACAAGAAATCTGATTTGAGTTTGGGGGAGTACCGGAAGGTGTGTACCGACGTATAACATATTTACATAAAGGTTGAGAAAAATCTCTAACATGCATAACATAGAATGTTTTCTAAAATATTGTGACATTGTGGCGCAGATGTTGGTCGATAAATTCCAGATTCACATCAGATATCTGGTTGAATGAAATATGTAGATATGCTAAGTTCGAAATCTATTCGCCGACTTGTTTCCCATGTTATAAGGGTTATAATTATTCAATTGGACTCTTTTTAGGGAAGGTATCAGAAGGCGTGGTCCGCTATATTATCGATTTTCTCGCATATCCTTGCACTGATACATATATTAGGATTTACAAAGTTTAAACAAAGTCGGATGAACCTATCACATTCTAGTAAGTAAATAATTTTTTTCGAAAATGTAGGAGAGGTACCAAAGGGAGTGGACCGATATTAAAATGTACCAAATTTAGACGACGTCGGATACTCCATTCAATATTTATCGTACCAGTCAGACAGACAACTCTAGATCGCCACTATATTATCCGGAAACGGGTTTCGTTCAAAAAGTACTAGAGTCTAAAAATTTATTTCACTCAGAAGAAATAGAGCGATTCTCTCCCGTTGTACTTTTAAAAATAAACAATATAGAAGCACAACAAAAAATTCTAGTATTCGAGCAAAGGTTTGGTGAAAATATTATGCCTAACGTTGGGCTAAAATGTCAAAGAGTTAATGAAGGTAATATGCCAACGGAAGAAGTCCTAATACATTAACAATATCAGAAGGTACTGTGCGGAGATCTGCTTAAACCCAGAATCGGGGGGCTAGTTCTCACATTCGGTTTCGAGATGGTGGCAAGCTTATGGACAAATTTATTTTGATTTAAAAATTATCCGATATCGAATGAAAAAAATAAGAATTATTGTTTTTCGCCTCTTTTGCAACAGAACCCTCATTAGAAATTGGGAGGCTATCTTTCCTGTCCATGTCATTGAGTCATTGCAGGTATAGACTTCTAGGTGCTTAAGCGTTGAAATGTCTGGACTCTAAACTAACCAACTGTCTATGCAAACTATTCTGCCTTTCTTTTCCTACTATTTTCCTGTACATTTTTTTAGTATGAAGACTGAATTCCGGTCGTCCCTTAATTATTTAGCAAAATCGCATCCAAACCCTAGCCTTAATGGATCGGAGCGAGTTAAGTGCACTTTTTCACCATCATACCATCGATATGTTGCGGTTCTTCATAGCACATTTGACACCTAAAAGTATGCAATTATTTAATTGCATTGTGCGACACAGCAAATAATTGCAAGGAAAACCGAGTAGATTATGAAATTCGAGCTAAATACTAATTATATATGGGCTATACTAAAAAATATAGACCGAAATCACGCATTTTTCAAAGCAATAATGCTTGGAGTAATCCAAAGTTCTCTATTCATTTTCAGAGCTCTATATTAAATGTTGCCAAAGTTTTATAAAATGATTGGGGTCCCTTTGTATATGGTCAAGTTTATTTATAAAGGTTTGGCCCAATATCCAAAACTCTTTTAGAATGTTGATCTACAAACCGAATATTATCCAATCTGGAGTTTCCCATAACCCAGACAGTAAAATTATTAGAACAGTTAATTCATAAAAATTGCTAAATTTGTCCAGGCCAAATGGATGATATTTGTATGATACCTAGTAAGTATACAACTTACTTTTGTTCAGAGACTCGCAATGAAATTTGAACTAGAAAATTTCTTCAGTTCGCACTTTTCCCAAAAAATGAAGTATTAAGACAGATTTCGAAAAATTCTAAGACGATTTAACGATGTTCGTCTGTCTGTCTGTTGAAATCACGATACAGCCCACATTATTTGACGTAAAGCGTCAAAATTTAGCAGAATAATTTGTATTGTGTCTAGGATGGTTGGTATTGAAAATGAGATATATCGGTCCACGGTTTGGTATAGTCCCCATATAACGGTACATCCCAATATTCGGTACTTTGATGATTTTTGCCACACTTTTTCACGGATTTGTCTGAAAATTGGTATTTGTAGGTCATAATGGGTCCTAGTTCGTGCGGCGAAACATTGTAGGTATATTTCCACGCTTTGGTATAGTGCCCATATAACGGTACCTCCCGATATTCGGTATTTTGATGATTTTTGCCACAATTTTTCATGGATTTGTATAAAAATTGGTATTTGTTGGTCATAATGGGTTCTAGCTCCGGTGGCGAAACTTTGCATGTATAGGTCCATGTTTTGGTATGGTTCCTCCCGATATTTGGTAATTTGATGATTTTTGCCACATTTTTTCACGGATTTGTCTTAAAATTGGTATTTGTGGGTCATAATGGGTTCTAGCTCCGGTTGCGAAACTTTGCATGTATAGGTCCACGTTTTGATGTAGCCCCCATATACGGTACCTCCCGATATTCGGTATTTTGATGATTTTTACTAAATTTTTCACGGATTTGTCTGAAAATTTGTATTTGTAGGTCATAATGGGTCCTAGTTCGTGAGCCGAAACATTGCATGTATAGGTCCACGCTTTGGTATAGCCTAACTATATCGGTATCTTCCGATATTTGGTATTTTGATGGTTTTTGTCACATTTTATCACGGATTTGTCTAAAAATTGGAATTTGTTGGTCATAATGAGTTCTAGCTTCTTTGGCTCCATATAACGGTATCTCCCGATATTCGGTATTTTGATGATTTTTGCCACATTTTCCTACGAATGTGTCTAAAAATTGGTATATGTGGGTCATAATTGGTTCTAGTGTTTCCATTACCCTAAGGTGGAGGATATTAAAAGTTCGGCCCGGCGGAACTTAATGTTTTTTTTAGTTGGTTTCTCAACCATATTTTGAAAGGATCAAAAGGACTCTTTTGGTGACTCGCATGAGGGGTCTTGACCAAAACAATTCTCGTAATATAGCGGAATATACTATGTACTTATTATACGAAGATTCCAAGGAATCTAAATCCAAAAATTTCAAAAAATGTGGAAGAGGAGAAACTTGTCCCCCTATTTAGGTTACTTTGCGATATAACCTTTCAAAACGCCGATATACGTGTCTTCTATTTTTAACTCTACTTTTACTGGATTTTTCTTCTAATTATTTTTTTTTGTGTTGCTCAGGGTTATTGATACCAAATCAATTGTGAATTTTTCATTGCGGCTTCAGAGTAATGTGCAGATCCTGGCTAAGTCCGTCACTTATCATCCAATCTCTTTTTCGATAATCGGATCGGAATTGACAATAATAAATACAAATCTCTTTCAATATACTTACAACATCATGTGCATTAATTGTTGTGTCGTCACGTGTTGCTGCTACAATACCTTCTTCGAGACCACCATCACACATTCCTGCAATAGAAAAGACGGAGAGAAAAGGAAAATTGATTAGTATCTCTGATCGGGCGGTGTGGAGTTGGGGGTGTCATTACTTTTTAGTATTTCTTCCGGTGGATATTTACCTTGAAATGCAGCCATTGAACGAGCTGCACGCAAGAACATTAAAAGATCTCCATCTGCCATAGCACCGGGACTCCATCTTGGTATTTCTAATTCTCTTTCGTCGTTTTCCTTATCAACGGGGAAGCTTGAAATTGGATTATAATCCGGCAGTTTTGCCTTTTGTTGTTGTGTTTTGTTGTAGTGGATTTTTTTTTTAGATTGTTTTTTGGGAGTGTTTTTTGGTATTTTGGTGAAGCAGTGCATATGGAGGTAGGAGTAGGAGAAAATCGTAGTAGCAGAAATTTTAGATTTATTTGTTGTTGTAGTTGTTCAATGTCGAATAGTAGCGGTAGTAGTAGTATATAGGATGATTTTGATTTGGTTGTTGTTGTCGAATAGTTTTGATGTTGATGATAGTGGGGAACAGATGTTTGTTTTTTTTTTTTTTGTTGGTGGATTGGATGGATGTGAGCGTGTTGTTGCAGTAAAGGTGACACAGATACATGTTGTGGAAAAGGAAAAATGATAATTAGTGTGGAGTTATTAACAAAAAAAAATAGATTTTAGTTTATGAAAAAAAATGTAGAAGGGAATGGTGAAAAGAATGACAAAAAACAAGAATGCAAAAATACATGTTCGATTAGATACAATGGTGTTGAAAGAAGTTAATGTTGTTTTTAATTTTTGTTAATTTTTATGATGATTTATGAGGTGATTACTGAGGGGAATACATGTAAAGGATATAAGGATGGATAAGTAAGTAGGTTCTTCAAACGACCTAATACAGAAAATTGAGGGATATTCTTAAAAATAGGTAAATGAGTATTTTCTTGAAGAATTCTAGGGCATTCTAAAAAAAGAACATCAGAACATATATTATATAAAACAAAATATTTTCCCTCTATGAGTAGGTTCCGAAGAAATGGGCCAAAATTGTCAATTTCGTTATCGGACCTAGCTAAATATGATATAAACATAGCGACGTGCCAGGTTTGCACTATAGCGACTACCTTCCTTCACTTTATAAGAGATATGTGATAATTTTTAGAAAGTGTTAAAATATGCATGAGTTACCAGATAGAGTCGACCGAATTATTCCATTTTCATACCTTATCTAATACAGATAAAAATATTAATATGGGGTAAATTTCAAGAAAATCGAACATTTATATCGGTTTGTATGCGAAATTATAAATTCCGATAAATTCCATATTCTTCTCAGGTTTCTGATAGAGAGAAAACTTAAATATGGCATGTTGTAAGAAATTGCTGACTTGTTTCACAAGTTGTGGCAGATATAAGTATTTAAAATTGTGAACCTTTGTGGGTGAGGTACCAGAAGGGGTTGACAAATATCTATCACCTTTACAACAGATCTTGTGTTAGCAAAAATGTTTGGCTGTTTCGTTTTCATTGAGCGTTTTGTTTTACAAAATCATGAAACCTATGTGGGGGAGGTACCATAAGAAACTGTCCGATTCCTCCTATATTTATAACCGATCTTGTGTTGATAGAAATAATGACATGTACCAAGTCTGAATGGAATGGAATGTGATTTTCGCGTTTTATGAATTTTATGGATATTCAAAATGTTAACCCTTTGTGGGGGAGGTATCAGAAGGAGTGGACCGATACATTCCATCTTCACAGCAGATTTTATAATCGTTTTGGTTATTCAAAACGTTGACCCTTTGTGGGGGAGGTGCCAGAGAAGCTGGTCCCATCTCTACCGTCTAAGATCTCAGATCTTGTGTTGATCTTGAATCGGATATTAATCGCGTTTTATGAGCTTCAGGGATATTCAAAATATTGACGCTTTTTGGGGGAGATAGCAGAAGGTGTCGACTGATATATCTCATCTTCACACCAGATCATGTGTTAGTAGAAATATTGACATGTATAAAATTTTAAGAGGATCGGATATTTATTTCAAATTTGTACACCTTTTGTGGGGAAGATAACAGAAGGGGTGGGCCGATATATAACATCTTCATACAAGATCTTATGGTGGTAGACACATTGGGATGTGCAAAATTCGAGGAGGATCGGATGATTATATCTTCTTTTATGAGCGGTCCCCTTGGTGGGAGTGTACCGATATATCCCATCCGCACATGAAATCATGTATAAGTAGATGTGTTGCAATTTGTGAAATTTGAAGAGAATCAGATGCTCATTTCGCCTTTTTGAGGGGTCCGCTATGCTATATCACCAGATCTTGTGTTAGCACAAATATTTGACTAAGCGAAGTTTGTAATAGCATTTTATAAGCGTTATATATTTTTTTAATGTTGACCCATCGTGGGGGAGTACCAGAAGGAGTGGTCCATTTTATCCCATATTCATACCAAGTTTAGACTTATTCGAAATATTGGGATATACGAAATTTTAGGACAATCAGACCCTTAGTTCACAATTTATAAGAAGTATCATTATTCAAAATTTTCACCGTAGAACCAGTGGGTCGATATTTTTTATTTAGGAACTTTACCTAACACTGGCACAAATATTAGAAGTTGTAAATTTGGAACAAAATCGGACGATCACGGAAAATGATTTTTTATGAAAATGTTGAGGGAGAGGTACTAGAAGGATTGGTCCAACATTGCCCATCGCCGAATTGGATCTAAGTTTTGTTAAAAATGTTACGATGCATCAAGTTTGGACCAAATCGGATACCCCCAAGACAGAGAGGCAGACGAACAGCGCTAGATCAACTCCAAATGTCCTGAAATGGATTTCAAGCAAAGAGACATAGGTTCTGAAACCGATTTGGCAGTTTCAAATGATACATACCATTTGTTACCATGAGACTGAGGGAATAATAAAAATCCACAGTTTACATATTGATTGGAAGCCCTAGAAGATCCAGTTCGAAGAAGGTCTGGACACCCGGTCCGATGTCTTTCTTTAAAATTGAGGTATGGCTATAGAAGGTAAAAGGTTGAAATAGTATTGATTCGAAATAACTTGTGAATGAAATGAGTGAGTTGACAAATACGTCTATTTGCTCAAAAGTGTGTGCTAGCCCATAAGTCCGGAAAAAAGGTAATTTAAGAAAAAACAAAAATTATATTTTTTTTCTTTATATCTAAAATTTCATCTATTATTGTTTTTGGCTTGTTCCAACCCAGATTAGGATAGTAAATCAGAGATCAGATTTGCTTACTATTTATATAGAGTGAAACATACTCGCGAGCGGGAGTGCTCGAAAAATGAGAGTTTTACAGATTTCACTCTCTTCTCTTTTGGTGCGAGTGCGACCACAACTCATGACAATGATCGAAGAGTAGATGTTAATTCTAAAATGGGTCATATTATTAAAAATTTTAGTGAGTTTAAAAAAAAACTGGATGAAGCATTTTGGGCGTAAGCTTTTTTATGCTTGTCATTCCATCCACCTTGGAAAGGAGGGTATATTAACTTCGTCATTCCATTTGTAACATCCCTAAATATTCGCCGAAGACCCCATAATGTCTATATACTCATAATCAGCATAAAATTCTAAGTCAATTTAACGATGTCCGTCTGTCTGTCTGTTGAAATCACGATACAGCTCACATTATTTGACGTAGAGCGCCAAAATTTAGCAGAGCAATTTGTATTGTGTCTGGATTTCTCTAAAAATTGATATTTGTAGTTCATAATGGGTTCTAGCTTCGGTGGCGGAACATTGTACGCATAGGTCCACGTTTTTGTATAGCCCCCATATAACGGTACCTCCCAAATTTACGGCATTTTGATGATTTTTCTTACATTTTTTCACGGATTTTTAGACAATAGTTTATAATGGGTTCTAGTTTCGGTGGCAGAACATTGAATATTAAGGTCCATCGATACCCAAAGATAGTAAAACAAGTTTCAAATGTTTCTTCTGTAAAAAATTGTACCCCCTATTCTAAAAATGTATGAATATATTAGAATGACTTTAGCTCTGATATGCCCTGAAGCTTCCAATCGAATACCCTTCTATACAATAATACCGAAATGATATTATAATTTTTATTTGTTCAAATAAAATGTTTCAATTACAAATGAATTTGATAACCGGGCATATAAAATAATTATATGGTGTCGATAATCGTATTTTCTTTGAATATTTATAACTCCATCCCCTTCCCTCCCTCCAAAGAGATAGCAAGAAATGTATGGATGTCAAATAAATTGTTAAGTACTTAATTAGTCATATATATTTTTTAATTGGATTCAATTGTTGAAAGTAGGTAGTAATCAATTCTCATGGAATTAATAAATAAAAAATGTGTGGAATATACATTTCTTTTAAAAAATGTATTAAAAATTGTCACTTGATTTGCATACGCTTTATTGTTGTTAATAATTTTTTTCTTTGTTTTTTTTTTTTTTATAAAGAATCCATTTCTATTTAATCATCTGTCATTAACATTTACCGACAATTAATTAAATATGTTTGTCATAAACGACAAATAAATAAATTAACATTGAGCGAAATATTAAATGGAAAATAAAAAATAATAAAAAAATGTATTATTGTGTCATCTGTTATTTTCAAGTAGAGCACAGGGTGAATTGTACAGTGCAACACATGATCTGTTTCAGAACTGCAAGAATGTAGAACATTTTGCTACGATAACATATTTTATTCTTTATGATATCGAAAAAAAATAGAATGCTAGTAGATTTTAGCAGGTTCTGGTAAGAGCTACAATCGTTGCATTGCAAAATGTATGATGTGAAAATGAACAATCCCAAAAAACCCGACAGTTTTGAAATCAGCTTCACGACAGCCATTTGACCCCGAAATGTTTTTTTTTTATAATTTTCACATTACCCTTGGAAAAGTTCATAATTTGTCCTTTGAGACCTCTAAAAATAGTTTCGAAATAAATTTCCTAAGGGAACCCGTGTATACTCTATTTTTCTATGCCTCTTGATTTAGAGAGAGAGAATTATTTGCGGCTTTGGAGGATTCTCTCTCGATTTCGAGTAAAGTTTCAAACTCGCTCGATTTCATGGATTTCCAGATTATATAAATTTTGGATATCTTTAAAATATATTACAGGGACATTCAGATCAATAATAATTTAATATTTTTTAAATATTTAAGGCCTTATGGCTACAGGAACTATACTGGAGGAGATGAAAAACCTGCAACCAACTTCAGACTGCTAACATTTCTAAGCCACTCGTCCGACAGCTGTAAAAATTAATCCACTGACAGCTCATTATATTGTTTACAAGCGTACAAAAGCATTTTGGTAAGAATTTTCCAAAAAAAACTTATTCGTGATGGAATTCAAGAGAGATAGTGTGAGTTCTTTATATTTGGCTGGAAACCCACAAGTGACTATCGTTAGAGCACTTCAGCATTTAAATGTGAATAAGTATTTTGTGTCTCGTACCATCGCTCATTACCGTTACCATGATACTGGCAGCGTAGCCCGACGTCTAGGAAGTGGACGGAAGAAAACAGCAACATCAGCAGAAATGGTTTGAAAAGTAAAAAAGCGACTTGATCGAAATCCGGTTCGCAGTTGCCAAAAAATGGCTCGTGAGCTGAACATATCGCAATATTCCATTCGGCAAATATTAAAAAATGAGCTCGGGGTAAAGCCATTGAAATTCCAAAAAAAGTGCAAGATTTACACCGCAACTGAAAGAAAATAGACTCAAAAAAGCTAAAGAGTTGCTTCGCTTGGCCGAAAGTGGCGAAATGGCCAATTTGGTTTTCTCCGTCTCCGACAAGAAAACATTCCTTGTCCGGCAGTTTGTAAACAAACAAATTTATCGTGTTTACTTGCCAAAGAGGTCAGCTGGAAATGTGCACCTTCGGTTGGCCACCAGAACTTAAGCGCCGCCCATGGCGATGGAGTGAGCCGCCATAACAGTCGAAGGTCGCCCTCCACTAGTATTAATCGAACGTGGCATCAGAATAAATGACGAATATTATCGCGAGAATATTCTGGAGGGTTTGGGCACGAAAACATTTTGGCCGCAGACCTTAGATATTTCAACAGGACTCAGCACGCGCCACCAAGGAATGTTTACAAAATGAGGTTCCTCGCTTCATTTGCAGAGCACAATGGCCACAAAAATCTCCGGATATCAATCCGTTGGACTATTGTGTCTGGAGTGCCGATCACCTCAAGCAAACGCTTCGCCGGGAATGTGCCAAAATACCGCAGAGCAACATTCGGGCAGCGAATGACGGTTTCATTGGCCGTTTGAAGGCCATAATTCGTGCCAAAGGTGACAAATTCTAACAAATCTGAACTTATTCTAAAATTTGACGCTATTTCCGACATTTTTTTTTTTTTTTTGCTTTCATTCAATAAAATTTAAAAAGAAAATTAAAATTTTGGGGTTTGACTTTGTTGCAGTTTTTTTATCTCACCCTGTATATTCGGCATTTTGACGATTTCAGCGACATTGTTCACCGGAATTGTTTCAAATTTCGAATTTGAAGTTCCTAACAAGTACTACTTCCTGTGACAGAAAATTGCCTTTGCAGGTCCAGGTCTTCTTGTAGTCCCCCTATATCGGTACCTCCCTATATTCAGTATTTTGATGATTTTATCAACATTATTCACGGGAATTGTTCCAAAATTTGTATTTGAAATTCCCAAAGGGGTACTACAGCCTTTGATAGAAAATTAGCTATACAGGTCCAGGGGTCTTCTTATAACCCCCCTATATCGGTACCTCCCTATATACGGTGTTTTTATAATTTTACCACCATTATTCACCAGAATTGTTTCAAATTCGTATTTGAAGCTCCGTACAGGTACTACAGCCTGTGACAGAAATTTGCCTATGCAGGTCCAGGTCTTCTTATAACCCCTCTATATCGGAAACTCCGTATATTTGGTGTTTTGATGATTTTAGCAATATTATTCACCGTAATTGTTAAAAGTTACGCATTTAAACTTAGTAATAGGTATTACAGCCTGTGACACAAAATTGTCTATGCAGGTCCAGGTTTTCGCTTGGCCCCCCTATGTCGGTACTTTCCTACATTCGGTATTTTGATGATTTTAGCGATATTATTCAACGGAATGGTTTAGAATTACGCATTTGAACTTACACAAAAAATTGCCTATACAGGTCCAGGTCTTCGTATAGCCCCCCTATATCGTTATCTCCTTACATTTGGTATTCTGCTGATTTCAACGACATTATTCAACGGATATATATATTTTTTTTTTCAAAAAATCATTTCCATCCTTTTTTAACTGTCGAAGGATATACTTATAATATTCACTACATACATGTCTTGAATATTTTGATTAAGGTCTGTATAAGATCGGACAAAAAGACCACTTTTGACAACAAACTTAGCAGTTTTTCTACTCTTTTGTCCTGACTTTTTTGGATTTCGAATCACAAATGTGCCTTTTGACAGCAAACTTAGTTGTCAGATGGGCTTACTGGCCGAATTTATATAGGTCATGACTTGGATTATCTACTAAAAAAATCAACGACTACTTAAAGAGAGCATATGTACCAAAGCTAAGTACAAGAAAAAGAAAAGGAAATCCAAGAAAAACTACATTAAACCAAAAAAGAAGTCTAAAAAGAGGATAAAGAGAAACGAAAATGGATAGTGGAAGAATGGAATGGACATAACATACAAAACTAAAGACAAATTGTTTGGTGGGTTGGTTGGTTGTTTGGTTAATCACAAACACACGCACACACACCGAGAGACATATGTACACAAAAAAATAATAATAAAAGAAAAAAAAAAACAACAACAATGTGTAGAGATTGATTTTTGTTACCGTGATTCGTTTATGGATTTTGATTTATGTACGTACATAGACATCGTTTACCTGGTGGCCGGGACCCACTCGAATTTCTCCTTGAGTGGAGGCCGCCATTACCCTTCAAAAACACTTTTACGGTCCAGTGTTAAGCCTTTTTATTGCCCCCGTTGTAATGAAATAAAAATCAATGCAATCAATGAATATTTTCTGCAATGAGACAAGAAAAGTGAAACAACAAACAATTGTTTTAGTTATTCATTTTTTTTTTATTATTAAACAATAACATTTTTTGTATTATTATGATTGACGGATTTATAAATTGCTTATAAATGTGTGTGTGGGGGGGGTGGAAGGAAAGAAGAAGGCAGAGAGAGAGAAAGGATTGCTAACTAATTGAAATTGAAATGTAAATTCAAAAGAAAATTGCATTTTTTTATTTAAAAGAAAAAAATAGAAAAAAATTGAAAATTTAGCAAGATATTGAAAAGTAGATGTAGAGTAGTTGGGTGTAAGGTCACCTACTGTATAGTAGTTGGGCTGAGAAATCTTCTTCTGTAGAGTAGATATCTAAATTTTTTCTGAGAGATTATCTACTGCAAAGATTATCTAGTGCAAAGACCTATAGATGGACCTGGAAGCCGCTTATGTAGAGTAAATGGTCCCGGAGGCCGTCTACAGTGGAGTAGAAGGACCCGGAGGCGGTCTACTGTGGAGTAGAAGGACCAGGAGGCCGTCTACTATGGTGTAGAAGGACCAAGAGGCCGTTTACTGTAGAGTAGAGAACCCAGAGGCCGTCTACTATTGAGTAGATGGACCCGGAGGCCGCCTACTGTAGAGTAGATGCATCCGGGGGCCGTTCACTGTAGAGTAGATTCATCCAGATGCCGTCTACTGTAGAGTAGATTCATCCGGATGCCGTCTAATGTAGAGTAGATGCATCCGGAGGCAGTCTACTCTAGCGTAGATACATCCGGAGGCCGTCTACTCTAGCGTAGATACATCCGGGGGCCAGCTACTGTAGAGTAGATGCATCCGGTGGCCAGCTACTGTAGAGTAGATGCATCCGGAGGCCGTCTACCGTAGAGTAGATGGACCCGGAGGCCATCTACCGTAGAGTAGATGGGCCCGGAGGCTGACTACTGTATAGTAGATGGGCCCGAGGCCGCCTACTATAGAGTAGATGGACCCGGAGGCCGCCTACTGTAGAGTAGATGGACCCGGAGACCGTCTACTGTATAGTAGATGGGCCCGAGGACGCCTACTATAGAGTAGATGGACCCGGAGGCCGCCTACTGTAGAGTAGATGGACCCGGAGACCGTCTACTATAGAGTAGATGGACCCGGAGACCGTCTACTATAGAGTAGATGGACCCGGAGGCCGTCTACTGTAGAGTAGATGGACGCGGAGGCTGACTACTGTATAGTAGATGGACCCGGAGGCCGTCTACTGTAGAGTAGATTGACCCGGAGGCCGTCTACTGTAGAGTAGATGTACCCGGAGGCCATCTACAGCATAGTACATGAACCCGGAGGCCGTCTACTTCAGAGTAGTTGGACCCGAAGGCCGTCTACTGTAGAGTAGATGGACCCGGAGGCCGTCTACTGTAGAGTAGATGCATCCGGCGGTCATCTACTGTAGAATAGATGCATCCGGCGATCGTCTACTGTAGAGTAGATGCATCCGGCGGTCGTCTACTGTAGAGTAGATGCATCCGGCGGTCGTCTACTGTAGAGTAGATGCATCCGGCGGTCGTCTACTGTGGAGTAGATGCATCCGGCGGTCGTCTACTGTAGAGTAGATGCATCCGGCGGTCGTCTACTGTAGAGTAGATGCATCCGTCTACTGTAGAGTAGATGCATCCGGAGGCCGTCTACTGTAGAGTAGATACATCCGGAGGTCGTACATGGACCCGGAGCGCATATTCTTAGCCCCACATTTAAAATCTACTCGCAATTCCTTGTAAGTATGTTTTGTTTTGTGTTGCCCAGTGTGATTGTTGATTAACCCTATTATAAGGTAATGACTTATTTTGCTGCGACTCTCACCACCCTACTCTGAACACCCCAACTAACAATTCATTATTTCAAAACAATGTTTGCAATAAATATCCATGTAATTACATATGCCGTGTATAATTGCACACTAGACTTTGAATGTAATCCTATTTGCGCTTCTTCTTCTCCTGGTTTTTCATATCATATATATCTATCGGGGTATGAAAATTCATGTCATTGTGAAAATTGGTTACACTTAAGTACCTAACCGCCTAAGTCGATGTTTTCTAATTTTGGTTTGAACAAAAATCATTTCATTTAACAAAAACATCAACACTGTGGTGGCTTCCTCGGAATGATGGGAGAAAGAGGAAGAGAGAGTGTGTGTCGTATCGTAGCGTACACCAAAGACTGCCGCCAGCTAATGAATAACAAATACAATTGACTCTTCAACCCAGCTCCCTCCACTTACATTTGCAAATCCCCATGCCTAACATATTCTGTTTGACTTCTGGAATATGCATAATGTGTGGAGAAGATGGAAGAGGATGAAGGGAGGGGGTAAAATTGTAATAGGTTTTCCATTTTTTCGCTATGAAATATTGTCAGAGAGAGCGAAAGGGAAAGGGACAGATAGACAACAGAATGTGCATGAGTGAACGATTCGAAAATAGAATGAAAAATTGTCTATAAATCGGCTTTGTTCTGTTCGATACGATTTGTGTTTTGTTGTGGGTTTTTCATTTCATCCTGTGCACAATGCCATTGGATTGTTTTTTTCTCTGTTTCGTTTTGGGTATATCGATTTCAATTTGAGTCGAGTCGATTCATTTAATTTTCATGATGACAATTTGATAGAGAGAGATTGAAGTAAATATTCGGTATTTGCCTAAATTTACTTGGACGTAGTTATGTTTAATTGAATTTTTAAAAATGTATATCAACAGCAGAGTTCATATTTGCTCGTTTTTACTCATGAGTGAAACATACACGCGAGAATGCTCCAAGAGTAGGAGTTTCACCAGAAGTATACTCCTAAGAGAAAGAAAGAGAGGGAGAGAGAGGGAGGTACAGAGGGAAAGGGTATCTCACCCTCACCAAAGGGAGGAAGAGAGAGAGGAAAAGGTTGAGAAGGAAATGTTGAGAGAGAAAGGGAGAGAGAAAAAAATTACTATGAAAATAACTAAAAGAGTTTTAGGCCTACTCGTTCTTATCGAAGGGACAGCGAAAAATGGAGTGAAAAATGGTGTTTAGTACTACCAGGAATGCTTCCGCTCGTTTCGAAATAAAATTACGGTATGATATAAAATACAAGAGCACATGGCAAGAGTGGAATTAAGACAAGAATCACTCTCATTCGAAAACGAGCAAAGTCTTCTCTTTATTCATCATCTTTATTGAGTACAGCTCATATACATTTTTGACTCGCAGCAGCTTGAATTCGAGTAAAGACTAAAGAGAAAAACACGTTCGATTTTTTCAAGCTCAAAAATGAAAATGGAGAAACATCATAGTTTTAAGCCCTCCTTGCGGGACTATATTGTGGGAATATTTTCTGGATGTGTAGTCTAGAAGGAAACAAATACAAAAGCACGTAAGCCGGGCCGAACCTTTAATACCCTCCTCTATACGGAAGGACCTTGAAAAATATAAAAAAAATGGTCGAAAATAGCGGCTGAATAAACTCCGTTCTATAGGAGATATACGAAGATGAGGACCTGCAAACGTAAATTTTTGCCATTGGCTGTAATATCCACCACGAACTTCAAATACCAAATTTGAAAAAATTCTCATTCGCTAAAATCATCAAAGTACCGAATATCGGGAGGTGCCGTTCAATGGGGGGACGTGGTCCTGCACAGGTAATTTTCTGTCATAGGCTGTAGTATCCTTTGCGAACTTCAAATACGAAATTTGAAACAATTCCGGTGAATAATACCGATAAAATTATCAAAATACCGAGAATCGGAATGTACCGCTATAAGGGGGCCTATAAGAAGACGTGGACCTGAACAGACAATATTCTGTCGTAGGCTGTAGTATCCTTTGCGAACTTCAAATATGAAATTTGAAACAATTCCAGTGAGTTATATAGCTTACATCATAAAAATACCGAATAAAGGGAGGTACACTTATTTGTGGGCTATATGAAGACGAGGACCTGTACAAGTATTTTTTTGCCATTGGCTGTAGTATCCATTACGAACTTCAAATACCAAATTTGAAACAATTCCGGTGAATATTGTCGCTAAAATCATCGAAATATCGAATGTACGAAAACGTGGACCTGCACAGACAATTTTCTGTCATAGGCTGTAGTATCCATTGCGAATTTCAAATATTAAATTTGAAACCACTCCGGTGAGTAATATCGCTTATACCATCAAATTACCGAATAAAGGGAGGTACCCTATACCAAGGCGTGAACCTGTATAGACAATTTCCCGTCAAAGGATGTAGTATCAATTACGAACTTCAGACACGAAATTTGAAACAATTTCGGTCTGTAATGTCTTTAAGATCATAAAAAATGCGGAATATAAAGAGGTACCGTTATGTAGGTGCTATACGAAGACGTGGGCCTGCATATGTAATTTTTTGGCATAGGCTGTATCACTCATTACGAGCTTACAATGCCAAATTTTAAACAATTTCGATAAATAATATCGCTAAAATCATTAAAATACCGCACATTGGAAGGTACCGTTATATGGAGGCTATACGAAAATGTGGACCCATATGGCCGATTTACGAACTTACCTTGGCTACTGGTAAAATACACATGTGTGCAAAATGTTAGCCTTCTATCTCAATTCGTTCGAAAGATAGCGTGATTACAACAGACAGACGGACGGACATTGCTAAATCGACTTAGAATTTGACGCTGATCAAGAATATATACACACCCACACTTAGGAATAAAACACCTGTATAACAAAAACTAAAAGATCACGAGCTAAGAGTAGAATCTACTCTCTTTGGAGCGAATTGTACTCTCACTCGAAAACAAGCATACTCGCTCTTATTCGAGTGGCATAGGAAAAATAGATTGCTCTCGATTTATTTTTTTATTTGCGGGAGTATTCCCTCGATCTCTCTTTAATCGAATTCGAGCGAGTATTTCGGAACTATGGTGACGATTGTAAAAATGTGGCTGGGAAGCTAATTATTTGGTATTGGAAGAATTTGCTGGATATTCTCTGTGGGCCATG